CGAACCCTCGATAACTCGAACTCAAGCTAATTCGAACCAATTTGTTTTTTTTTTCTATATAATTTTACCATCGATAACTCGAACCATGTTTTGAGCCCTTAAAAAGTCAAAAAAGGGAAAAAAGCCGTACACTGGCGTCCGAAACATTGAATTTTGGATTTCCTATTGACGTGTTGTAGGAGTATAGTTTACTAGTGGAAGCTGATGTTGATTGTCACAGGCTAACGTGAAGCAGCTTTCCTTCTCAAAACAGTAAAACGCATGCTCTATTTAGGCTATCTTTTGTTACGTTACGTTCTGATTTATAATCTAGAAGTACCTTTTAATTTTCACTTGACATTTTTACAATTAAAGGGGCTGTGTCACGGTAGTCCAGTTCATTTTGTTTAATTTTGCTAATTACTCGCCTTCGATCGCTATGGAACTTAAAGTAAGCAAAGAAATTACATGTAAATAACAGAATCAGAGACCCGAGACAAACAAATATGTCTCCTGAGCATTATTCTTAAAGTTGCAAGCAGCAGGGATCAACTTTGAAAAACTGTTAGGCTGAACAGTTTTCAAAAATCCTAATTTCAATCCGTTTCAATCTTCTTCAGTTTTGCCCATCCGCGACATCTATTGTTTCTGTTATGTTATTTTAACCTTCCTTTAAAGTTTTAAGCGGTTATTTTTATGTTTCTCTTAATTCAACGGGCATTTTGTAATTTCTTAATTTGGCTCAATTTCGTGACACAGCTCCTTCTGAAATGTGATTAAAATGTTCACTGTGCATTGAAAACTGTTTTTTACCTTACTCTCGGCTATTTTCTTCGACTCCCAATAACTCGAACCTTTTTTCGATTTCCCTTGAAGGTTCGAGTTATCGGGAGTCGACTGTATATCAGATAAAACCGTCGATTTGTTTGGAATTTCGCGATTGAATAACCCTATTGGGAACCCTCTATACTCTCCAGTGGTCATCATTTGTGACCTGGTTGTGAGCTTTTAAATGATGCCTAGTCTTCTATTAGCTATACGCAAAGCGTTGTTTGATTGCACAAATGACGGGCTGTGTAGGACACTGCAGTAATAATTGATTCTTAGCCTGAATTTCAGTCGTCTCTTCGGGTCGCAAACCGATCTCAAGAAAGACGTCGACTCTTTCGGGAGTTTGGGACTCGAGGAGACGGCTGAAAATGCAGAATAAATGATTACGGGATCGCAAATCGCCATCAATAACTTGCGAACTTTAAGATTTTCAAAGGCATTTGACCTGTGTACAGCCGCCCCCTCCCCTCAGAAAAAATCAACGAACGGGCCCCTTCTCCGAGTTTTTTCTGAGGGAAGGTGGAGGCTGTGCATAGCCTAAGGAGCACTTTGCATCGCAGACCTTGGGAATAGAGGTGAATGGTCATTGTAGAGAAGTGGCTGCTATGTTCTATGTGGAGGAGGGTTGGGATGCACTGTGAGAAAAGATTTGAACCAGTGGGTTAAAAACATTTTTACCTTGCGAAAATAAGACGCGCGTGCCTTTTCTCGCTCAACTATTCAACTGTTTATTAATTATTGCAAATTTTACAGCAAGCAATATTCACTGCCCGCAGTTAGCAGATTAGCTAGTCCAAGCGGGCGGTGGTCTACTATGTGATTTTTATAAATGTTAAATAAATAAAACCCGGTGCGTATTTGCCTGAGTTTTGACGACCTCTGTACATTACTGGGGAACCAGTAAGCAACGAAAACTTTGGTGTACCGGAAGTCAAAAAAGGCAACCGGAAGTTGCTTTTCTTCTCTCTTCCGGTGCTCTGATCTGAATAAGCAAATTTGTACAGTGGAAGTTAAAACAAAGGCATTCATATTCGCTGTGTCAGACAGAAGCGCTCTATCAAGCGAGGTATCAAACTTCCAGGCGGCTTTTCATGACGTCTGGGACGTCAGCGTTCTCGTTGCTCTAACTCCGGGGGTCCTCCTGGGAATTCTTGCTGGGGGTGTGCCGCCGCCCGGCTCTTCTAATTTTCCCCATCCGTTTTCAGACCAGATCTCTAAAATCCGTACCCATTTCAGACCTGGCCTTTAGGCAGAAATTATGTTATCATTACTCAGATTACAGCGCAAACAAAAAAAATTCTTCAAATCCATTTCAAATTCGCATATTTCTCTTTCTTTTTTACTCATTTGGAATTGAAACGATAACTTCATCGATCATACACTCCCTTAGTTCCCTCAAAAACCATACCTGATTCGAGACCAAAATGGGCAAAGTGTATACCCGTTTTCAGACCAAAACGGCACAAAAACGCTACCCAATGGGGCGGCACATACCCATATAGCTTATGTAAGGGAGTACCCCCCGGGCTTTAACTCGCTACTATCTTGGAGCCAGGAAAAGCCGGGCTAGCAGAGTTAAAAGTAAAAATCTAAAAAATGATTATGCTACTTGCCTGCTGTACAGGCATACCTCTAGGCTAAAATTTGACAGTAATCTTTCTCCTTTTACCATAGTGACACTGTGTTATACATTCTTTCTATCCTTTCATTTGTCCTTTGTTGTTTTCTTTTCTGTTGTTGTTGTTGTTTTTTTTCTGTGATGTTATTTTAGTATCATACCATTAAGTTCAGAAAGTAACGACCCTCCGAAAGTAGCCACGCTTTAGCCTGCGTAGCAGGCGCTTGGAAGTAGCGGGCGAAAGAGAGAACGGGCGCGCGCGAGGGAGACACGCGTGTCTCCTTCTCGCGCGCCCGTTTTTTCTTGTGCCCACTACTTCCAAGCGCCTGCTACGCAGGCTACCACGCTTCGAAAATATCGACCTTTCTAAACTGGCTAGCGACCTAAAAAATTCCCTTTTTTGTAGCTAGAACTGAAAGAAATCAAAGACATCTGAAAAGGCTATGACCAAACCACGGCTCTTGCAAACTGATCTTAAGTTTAATTTTATGATCAAAAAAGCCTATAACGACTAAATTCAACAGCTCCGTGACAATACGATCTAATATTACTGGTATTGATGGGAACTGACTGCTTCTAACGTAGATTATTCAAAAGACTTATTTTTTCGAATATTGTTATTCAAAACAATAACATGTAACAATTTTCTCCAATAAAAAGTTTGTATACTTTTGTTGCGATTTTATTAGCGTAACTTCAAAACGCCGAAGTACGGTACGCATTTTTAGCTAACCGAAAGCAGCGACCCGCTGAACACAGGATTATGTAGCGACTCCGAAAGTACCCTTAGGAAAAGGCTGCGTAATCCGAAAGTAACGAGGGTTGTTACTTTTACATTCGAGTTCGTCCATCCTACCCATGACACCCTGCCCATAGTAAGTAATTTTGGTAATTATATCAACCCAACTTTTTTGCTTAATTAACCCAGAGATTTTTTCTTACCCAACGAAAAAACCTACCCACCCGAGACTGGTATAATTGAGGACGAATTTCATTTTCTCTTCCATTGTCCAAAATACTCAATCCCAAGGGAGAAATTCTACAATCAAATCCAACAAAATTTTGTCGACTTTAATCAGCTATCTTACACAGAATTCAGCCTGCATAATTATAGTTGTTGAGAACACCGCGGCAAAACGCAATGCGCATGAGCACAAAATTTAATATCCGGTCAGCTTTTTATTTCCGGTCTAGTATATAAACCAATAGCGTAAGCATAACTTTGCCGTCGCGCCAAGTTTAAAAGCAAAAAGGGCGAAACAGACAAAAAAGGGGGCCAAAAAAATCATTTCATTCGAAAGCTTATATATTTTTCTATTCTCAAACTTTTGCACCACATGGTTATCTGTTTGCACCAACGGTGAAAATGATGTTTGAAGTTTGCAGGTCGCGAGCGATCGACAAGACGAATTTGTTTTTACTGGCTTTCTTGCATGCTACTGGTTTGGAATAAGTTAATTTGGGAGAAGGCGACAACTAAGAAAAGAATAACAATACTTATGAAAGAAACCAAAATAAAGACGTCATCATTATCATAAAAACACTAAAACCAGGAAATAAAATTTTAGTCCGTTCAATTATTTGTTTTATTATCAGAGAAAACAAGAACTCAAAACAAAAGATGGGCGGGATTTAATAACAACTTTGACTTTGATGACTGCAATCACCGGGAAACTAAACATGCCTATAAATGACTTTCATTCAAGAAAATGCCTATTTAATTCTTTTACATGGTTGTTCTTTTGTTGAAGACTTCAATAATTTCAGACTGTGCGGCTGGGCTGCATCTCATGCAAACACGAAACTTCTAGCTGCTAAATACATGTCATGAAAAGTTCGACTTCTAAAAGCCACTGAACCAGCTTTCGCTCTCTGATTCTGAGAATGAAAAAATAAATAAATAGAGTTGTCAACTTGCTGCCAACCGGCTCAACAGTATAATTAAGCTTATGTTTCATGGCAATCAACCCAGAAGAGTTTCGTTTTAAAACACGGTAAAACCCACTGGTAAACAAAACTACAAAGCGATTGTGTGTTGTCGTTTTCCAAATAAAGTTTGAATCGTCTTTAACACATGTAGACTGAGAAACTGAAGAACTGAAAATTAGAACTACAATACACAAGCTTGCAATGATAACGTTTTTATTTTATGTCTTAGTTTCAGCCAGGTTAAGTGAAAAATAACAGTCAAAAACTTTATTTTCGTGAATGAAAATCAGTTTACCTGACGCTCTAGCCAAAATTACACACTGAGTTATTATCATCTTACCTTTTCTGAATCTAATCGACTAATTGTTTCAGTGATCTGTGCCTGGTTATCCATAAAAGCAATTTCAATAACTACAAAATAGTCAAAAACACGAGCAGCATAAAGCAGAACAACTGAACCACAAGCTGCACACAGAATGAAGCCGAGAGCGCGCGGGAGACTTTGATCTGACTGGAAAGTGTGACTGAAAAAGAGACCGGAAATGCTCAACCTGGCGCATGCGTAGACGTTTTGCCGCGGTGTTGTTGTTGAGTCATGTGCATCACGTCCACGTGATTTCGGTTTTCATTGAATGCTGGGTAACTGAATGCTGGTTAACCTGGGCAAGATGGCGCCCTCCACCATTCAGAAAATCAAGTCTACAATAACAGGCAGAGACCCAGAGCAAGACGGAATTATAACGGAGGTGCGATAGTCTTCTTTGATTCTATTTTATTGTCACAGCATTTCGCATGAGACCTTCTGCGGGTCTTTAAACTCTTTAGTCGGCGTTTTCTATGTTGTAGTTGTGGACCAAACTGTTTAGACTGAAATTTGACTTTATTTAGAGTTAAACCTTAGTATCTTGTTTCCGTTCCATTATTTAAAATTTACTTTCTGAAAATGTTTTAATTATAATCATAAAATTTAATTACACCACATGCTTACACTACCATGCAACTGTTGACCTTAACGTTGTGAATTTATAGGAGTTTCGATTCTACACTCAGCTCATATTAGCCTAATTAAAATGAAAACATAGCTGTGATTTTTAAAATTATTATTCAAGCTAACCTTTCACTGCAATAAAATGTTAAATAATTGGGTATCTATTTCCTGTAGTAAATCTTGAGACTAAATGAGGAGTTGCTGTGTGAAAGTGAGGACAGGCATGCATTCATTCCACATTAGAGTTAGAAATGCTGCTGGCAATTTTAGATAGCTGCAACTAAACTTTTTTGCAGAATAAAGTTATGGAATGTAACTGTATTATTAATAGTATGAATAAAGAGCCAAGAAAGCTTTAAAATTATTGCTTTAAAATTTTAGTGAATTGTGTGGTTCAAGAACATATCTAGACCTCTTTACTTCAGGAAGAAAATTCATTGTGACCAGTACAATACAGTATTAACACAACACATCTAATATGACCAAATTTTGTGGTCATGCACTGGTCACTTTTTTATATTCCCCTGTATCTTTGTAAGTCTTTGCTCCCAAGAGTGACCAAAGTCAAAATTCAACAAAATTTCCACATTTCATGTTGTAAGATGTTGATAAACAGAAAGTACCACGTGAAAGTTTTGATTGAATGGTGACAATGGAGTATTTCATTTACAGACTCAAATGTCAAAACCACCTCTCAGGACTTAATAATAATATTATTTCAAAAGTAGGTTGAGTTTGATCGCCCGGGTGAATGTAGTCCTGACTTCAGGACTACGTTCACTTGGACGATCAAACTCAACCTACTTTTGAAATGACTCCTGGGTTCAAACCTTTCACAATAATATTATTGTTGTTTACTAGATATCTGATGCAACTACCTTGAGCTGGTCAACACGGATCAAAGGATTTATTATTTGCTTTTGTATTGGTGTGGTGTTCTCCATTTTGGTATGTAAAAGAGGGTAGAAATAAATTCCAGCTGTATATTCATTGTCTTCAAAATAAAGGGAATTGTTTTTCATTAGCTGATCAAGGAATATGCGGCTTTAACTTCATTAGAATCAAACCAGGTCAAGCTACCCCCACAAATTCTACTGATTTTAAAAATTGAAGCCATTGAATGTGCTCGATATCAGCTTCCTTGTTGCATTTGAGCATGCATAATGCAGTAGTTTCAAAACAAGCTGTTAACCGCCAGTGTTCTGCTGGCTACTTGATTATATGCCGCCGACTACTCTAGACCCCCCTAGCTTCAGGGGTCTTCCAGCCCCCTCGATTGTCACAGTCGCCTACTTTTCCAGAGTCAGCCACCTACTTCAAAACATTTTGAAAGCCCTGATAATGAGCAGTGAATTGGCATACATGATGTTGATATATGTCTTTTTAGAATTAATTTTGTCCATTCAAAACCTCTTTTCAGTCACACTGAGTCTAAAATTTACCGCTCGCTGTATACTAGTATCTATTTTTTTTTTTTGCATCAAAATCATTATCGTACTTTGTCATACCACAAAACACAGGAAAATGAAATTTAAACTACGATAAAATTGGACCACAGTATACAAGGTGGCATAAAATTTTTTATAAATTGCTTGTCTGTAATTGCTGCTGAAGTTAAAGCAAATAATGTTGCCTGTCCATCATTACTTGACACCTCATATTTTAACGTGCTAACTTGGTGGCTTTCAGACAGCAGTTTTGTTGTGCCGTGATAAAGATTGTTTTTAGCAACAAGGACTAACAGGTTCAGTTTTTCAATTGATCAGTAATATTTATTGGATCCATGTGTGTACAATGCATGCTTGACATGGTCTGCCTATAAACTGTATGCAAGGTCGTGCTCTAAGAAAAAAGTGAAGGGAGCCCAGTGCTTGGAGCCTATGTAATCCAGGATGCCTAGTATATGAGTTTTAAGAAAAAGCTAAGATTTTGTAGTCACTTCAGGCAAAAAACAAGACTCCAGGGGCCACTGAGTGTTGCCAGATCATGCCCCTGGCATAGGGTATTTCAATACAGCAATAAAATTGATAATGATAAAGTATAAGTATACAGTGGAAGCTCTCATGAGTGCACAGCCTCGGGACGGGAAGCTGGAGCTGGCCGCTTACAGAATGTAAAAGAGCTTGTGTGAGAGTTGAGAAAAACAGGGCAGAAGGCAGCAATGACATTGAGGAGAGCTTCCATGGTAGTTATAAATTATATTATAAATTATTAGTATAAATAATTGGATAGAGTATAGTTAGTTGTCCTTTCTATGTGTCGTTTTTGTGGCTGCATAAATAAGAAAAGAAATTGTTTCATCAACTGAGTCAATGATAAAGTCATTTAGCTCTGTAGTTTTTCCATATTCTTATGTGGTGGTAAACCGATTTCAGATGAGACCAAATTTTCGTGTTTCACTCCTACAAATATGTGTTTCCACATTTTTTTATGAAACTGTCTCCTTCATTCATTTGTTATAATTAATTATTACACTTCATTTATTTGAAACAAACCCTTTAATTATTTCTAATATCTAGTCACCCAGGAAAAAGTTGGGTCTCAATGCAAGTGTCTCAAGTGTTAGTATTTATTCTGTAAAACACTGAAACTCGTTAAAGAACAAAACTATTTCCATAGAGCCAAACTTCTAGGGTATGGAAGTGTATAGTGTATATGGAAGTGTAAAGTGTATAGTATAATCAAATCTTGCCTTGCGGACACCCCGATCCCGATCCCGATAATACAGACAGCAGTTAAATCCCTGGCAAAAATAGATTCAAGATGTTTGACTGAAATGATCTTCCACAGACTATTATAGACTCTTGCAAATAAGGACACTCAAAGTTCAACTCAAAGTTCCTACAGTGAAGTTGACTGTATTATCTTCTGCAATAAACAGCATTACTTGACCATAAAGATAAATTTTTTGGTCTCAGAATGTTAAAATTAATATGGCTGCATATTTAGATTAGAAATTTTACTAATTGCTAATTGTTCCAAAAAATACTTATAATGTTCAAAACATGATGCAGACCGGCCCTTCTATCCCATCCTTGTTTATTAAAAAAAGGCACACGCAAAATTTTTAAGTATTATTTTTATTTGTGCTCTATCAATTAATTTTATTGCAACTCAAATTTTAATCTCTTTTGTCAGGGAGTGATATTTTTATGGAGGGACGTTAAATTATTTGCTGTGTTCTATTCACTTGGTAACCTTATGGCATTATCTAGGTATGTACATTTTGTTGATTGTAATAATGAAATTTGTGCCTCTTTTTCAATGATACAAATTAAAGTAACCATTTGCAAGGAAAAACTCAGGGCTTTCAATAACACCTGGCAACTACCAGTGCTCTGGCAGGTATTCCTGTTGCAAAGCACCCTGTTGTTACTGAATGCTTACAAGAGTCATTGGTTTTAAAGGGGCTTTATCCAGTCACTTTGTTTAGTCTACGCAATAACTCTCCCTTATTTACTATGAAACATTTTGGTAGCAATGAATTACCATGTCATGTAAATAACAAATACTCAGCTTTAGTGACCATTGTGTCTTCCGAGCATTTTTGTTTTGAGTTATAAACAACACAAAGAAAATCAAACTTTGAAAAAATGGTAAGCTGAACAGTGTCAGTCAAAACCTCAATAATTATTACTAACCTTCTTCTCCTTTTTTGCCCATCTATGGTTGCTTTCTTTTGTATTTGCATGTATGTTTTGCTTAATTTGGTCAACCTAGTGGCTGAACTTGATTAAATTTCACATCACACAGCTCCAAGCTTCCACCTCCATGTACTTTAGCTTACTCTTACGTCTACCACAGGAGTTATTGAAAGGTTCCCTTAAAAGTAAATGTTTTGTTAATATGTAAACCCTCACCTATCATTGATTGCTCTTATTGTATCATTTGCCTGTTTCTTTATTCTGGTTTATAGTACCTGTTTTCTCATGGGTCCTATGAAACAGTTGAGGAATATGTTCAAAGAAAAGAGGCTTATTGCAACGATAATCATGTTGGTAAGAGAAATAGTTCATTTTCCCATTTTAAAGATTAAATAAATGTAAATGTTGCAAAAATGAGTCCCTGTTGGGGAAAAAATCTGAGGTGAAATGACCTTGAAATAGCATCGTAAGACAGATGAAATGTTGACAAATGACATCAAAATGGGTTGCGACTGTGACATGGCCAAGAGCAATGGAAAATACAATAACAATTGATTGTAAAATACCAACAAGGACAAAGCCTCTTTCTCAATCCTTGAAATAAAGGGTTTTGAAATTCAGAACTATATTGGGACATATGCCCCCCCCCCCTAAGAGGGCCTCACACATTCAAATGGAAACCACAAGGGTGGAGGACAAGGAGTTTGCCGCCTGCAAAGCTGCCATAAAAATTTATCTCCAACAAAATAAGGGTCATTCTCGTCCACAAAGCATTGATTATCCTGGTCAGTATTACAGATTGACAGCTCTGGCTGAACCAGGATATTGTGCAAGTGTACCAATTTGTCATTTTTATAGTTGATGGTTATCGTTATTTTTTCAAAATAATGTTGGAGGCTACGCTTATGGCCGGTAGTCTGTGTTTTGCAGACTTACTGCTTTGGCCCCCATTCGGCCTTTGGCCGAGAAATAATTGTTAAATACACCATGGCCCTCCACACCTTGGGTCATCTAAATCTGACAAAAACATTTCCAAGATGCAGTCAAAATTTAGAGTGTGTATTATTTCGCATGACATACAGGATTGCAGTTTGAAAACTTGTTTTGTTTCTTTTTTTCAGGTTTGCCTTATTCTTACACTGTGTGCTGCCTTATGGGTGAGTTATGAAAACACCTTACCTAATGACCACATTATGGGCCCGTGGCAGGGTAGGGGGGTGCTCTATGAAAGTGACATGGGTTTTCATCATACCTTTCAGGGGGTAAAATTTTTGGATTGTTGCCATAGTGGTTCAATTTTATCCTTGGTTTAAATTTGATTTTCGTTTGTTTTAGGTATGGTAGTGAATCATAATGAGTTTAAAACAAGAGAAATTCAATACCAAGGATAAAACTGAAGCACAAAATTGCCTTTTAGGCTACCACTTGTTAAAAACTGAAATTACTTAGTGTACAACTGGAGTTGTTGCAGTAAAAAATGATGGGAAATCTTTGTGCAAGTTAAATGTGTGGAATTTTTATAAATGACACCTCTTAGGTGAACAGTAGAAGGTATAGGTCCTTATTTGGCTGACAAACCTGAGGTCGACAGCACGCTCATTGTACCCCGCTCTTTTTATCAGTGTTTCATTTTATGGGTATTTAATGCTTTTTAAAGCTACACTGAAAGGAAAGAAGTCCAACTTATAGAAGGATTGGACATCACACTTAGGAATGTATTTCCAAAACCTCTTGCACAGAAGGCCCGGGCACTCTTTTTAGTACATTTCTTTGATGTCCACTGCACAACTACAATGTGAAACCTCCTAATGCGACAATTTATGGAGGACGTGAACATACTAAGAAAAATTTTCCTTTCTCTTTTTGAACCAGGATAAAATCCTTAAGAATTCAACTCCAACAAAAATCGCCTACATTTGACAAATGGAGTTCGTCCTAATAAACGCAATAGAATTTGAAAGGACGCAAATTCACTATTTTATCAACATTTTCATTGTTGTCGTCGTTGTCATTGCTTACGCTCCCCTTTATACATTGTAAACTGGTCACTAGTCATAAAATACATGTATTGGTCACCAGAAATAAGGACATTTTGTCGAATAGTACATGAAGGGTTTGAAATAATCAAAGTTGTTATGCATGCAGGGTAGAAGAGATGAATAGAATAATGGAGACTAAACAATGTGAGATAATTAGTGATCTTACTTTAGCTTTAGAAAGACCATAAACACAACTGCACAGCTTGGCACATGAATGCCAAACACAGGTCACCAAATTGGCAGCTTTTGCTTTAGTTTTCATCAGAATTTTTTTTTTAACTTAGCCACGGCAACCCTTTCCATGAGTCACCTTGCTTCAGGACAACTTATTCAAATTTAGCATCAAGCGCTAGACTCAAGCTCAAACATGTACAACAGCTACTGTCACTGTTTGAAAGCCTATTAACTCTTCTGTTTCGTTTGTTTCAGTGGGAAAACAAAGGACTGGCTTTGCTGTTTTGCATTCTTCAGTATTTAGCAATGACGTGGTATGTAAATGATATTTTCTGTCCAATAACAGCTTATACACTGCGCTGCAATTGCAGCTTTTTGTTGTTTGTTTTCACTGTGTGGCTATTGACGTCTTTTTTATTTAATGCTGTTTTTTCTTTTACTTAGGTACTGTCTTTCCTACATTCCATTTGCAAGGTACTTCAATAAATTAATTTTCTTGTAACCATTTAATTGTTAAATGTTATGAAAATTATTTTCATAACTTAAATGAAAATTATGAAAACTTACTTATGAAAATTATAATAATTATATTTTCATAACTTACAGTGACTCTATTATGGGCTGCAGCTAATGCATTTAGGAGCCAAAAAATGTTGCTTTGGGGAAGAAGTACTTTTTGATAGAACTGAGTTTGATTGTTTCTGTTGACTTACCATGTGCAGAAAAAAGAGTATTAACTAGAAATATGTTAACAGGTTGTTGCTTGGTTAGTATCAGCCGGCTAAGCTGCTTAGCATTTCTTTTCAGATGGTGTTTTTTGAATAAAATATCCCTGTACTGGCCGGTTACTTTGACAACTCAGCCATATAATTAAAAGCTTTCTGACAACCCTCTGTTAATCACAACAACCAGCAAGAATATTGTTATTAAATATTGTTAACAGTAATGTTTGATAAAGTGGTAGGTGTTTAATTTTCTACCAAGTTTAAAGGCAAGATGTAGCTACTTGATCTGAGCAAATTGCAAGTTATTTGAATGGCTTCAAACAATTTTTTGCCCATTATTTTATTCAACAATTCTAAGGTTTTCTGATTGTTTTGCCCAAAAAAGAAAAAATGGGGCTAGGCAAAACTCTGTTGTATTAATGACGTTTGTTTGAAGATGAACCTCAAGCAGGTCTTGTTAAACATTTGAAATGTGTTACTTCCAAAACGTTTGGTGCTTGTTTTCTATTAGTGGCTATCAGTGTCTACCGTGTGAGCAGAGCTCCTTTGATCTTGCTAGTTAAGCCAGGAAATCTAAGTACCTCTACTGGAAGGGTAATCAGTGGCTGATTCCCAGCTGTCACGCACTCCAAAGAGAAACTCTCTTAACCCTTTAAACCCTAAGATCAAAATTTGAATTCTCATTTGTCATCCCCATTCATTTCCTACAAAAGTAGTGGGGAGAAGTTGATAGAATATCAAGTAAATTCAGTATTCTTCTTGTGTGATCATGTCCGTAATTCTCATGACCACTCTGTTTTACAAAGCATTGATATTACAAGGAGAAGCTTGATGCTAATCACTCTTAGGGCTTAAAGGGTTAATTCCTGGAATGGTTTTTCCTTGGTCTTACCATATGTCTCATCCTTTTAATCACTTCGTTTTTCCACAGGGATGCTGTGAAAAAGTGTGTCACGAGTTGCCTTGCATGAGTTAGTCAACTTCATTGAGCTTAGGTGCACAGATAAATATTAAATATTAACTATAATAATATTCACCTCAGTTGAGGTGTGTAATTTAATAAGAGGGCGTGTGCGGAAGAACGTCTTATATGACTCCTAATGTGATGTTTAATTCTCCTGTTGTTTCATGACAGTCTTTCAGAAGTCACTTGGGGCTATTTTGCAGGCACACGTCCATTATTTTCAGTGTCAATCATGCAATTGAATAGCCAGGGTAAATTTTGTTTTATCCGTCTTCAAACATGTGAAATAGTTATGACCTGTTATGTTCAGGCACCTCCAAGTAAGCTAATCAGAGTGCAAATAAAAGACAGTGTTCTAGCCTGCGAGCAAGCTCTCCTATTTGGGCAAGTGAAGTGCCCCTCGCGGCTTCACCCCTGGCTCACACGTTCTCGCGAGACTCATTTCACTCGCCCAAATAGGAGAGCTTGCTCACAGGCTAACAGTGTTCAGCAGTGGAGGATCCACGGGGAGGGGAGGGGAGGGGGTCCTGAGCCCCCCAGGGGAAATCCCATATGAAAGAGATAAGGATGCTTGTGGAGAACTTAGAGTTAAACCCCCTAAGGAGACCAATTAGTGTGTAGCTCCAGCTTTATTTCTTTACTAAAGGAGGCCATACACTGCACCCTAACACAGTATGATGGTATTTTACCTATATCTATGTACATGGTATTTCTACGCACACAACCCTAAGTAATTCATCGAGGGTAAAAATTTTGGCTTTCTGTCCATAATACCCTACTTGAGACCAAAGTCGGCAATCAACCCTAAGCAAGATGGCAAGGATCTTTGTCACTTTCATATAGCAGTCCCCCCCCTCCCTGGCTGACCTCCCTTAATCCTAATAAAGCTATTAGATTATGGGTGTATATTTTTTACTAATAAAAAGGGTTGTCGTTAAGCGCCAGGGACCGGGGATTTCTTCCGGCTAGTATGAACATGATCCCTAGCAACTTTTGTGGGAAAATTGAAGGAAAAAATAATAGAACCAAAAGAAATCTCTAGCTGTCTGATGCCTCGCCAACTTGTCATTTTTGCCCGCTAACTTGAAAACTTAGTGACTGCCCTTAAGACTAAGCGCAGTAAAACTGAAACTGCTGCCACGGAGCAAAATGCATACAATGTGTATGTGGTAGTTATAAAAAAGATTCGAAAAGCACAATCTCATAGGCATACATTATGTCACTAAATCATGTGCACATTCAAAGTTGCATGTCAGAAGGTGACTAGAAAACATTACGAGCAGTGAGGAAGAGAAGACGTTTTAGCCACTGTTTTCAAAATGTCTGCATCTGCCCTTGCCGTTCAGTTGTTTGGTGTCTGATTACTGTGATTTATAAGTGGATTTCAGTCATTGTACTCTTAATTTTTTTTAATTTACTAATCACTGATTAGCGACTTTTAGACGAAATTACTTGTTTGTGTCAAACCTCAGCAGTGTTAAAATTGAATGTTTAGTTAAAGGTAAAAAAACCACTGCAAAAACCGTGTACGAACAATCTTGCTCAACGTCGGATCTAAAAAGATCGTGATCAGTCAGAATATATAAAATTGAAAACGTTACAGTCAAGAAGACTTTTGCAAGGACTGATCAAACAACAGTCGAAATATCGCAACTTAACTCCATTTCACGTTGTTTGATCAGTCCCTGCAAAAGTCTTCTTGACTGTAACGTTTTCACTGTTAAAATTGTCTATCAGGGTTTTTGGTAGACATTCCATGATTAAATCATGGTTACATGTATATGAATTTCTCAAATTTGAAGCGCGGAATGAAAACATAAATGAAGAAATCATCGCAGTTAAAGACGCGCCTTATGCAGGTGCTGCAATGATCTTCTCTTTATTTATTATATTCCATGATGGTCACAGCTGAAATCTACCCATTTAGAACACCATACAAGACATCAGTTTAATTTGCACTATAATATATTTCATATATTCAGTGTCATTAACGTGTACTTTTTTACATTAATAATGATAATGAAGCAGTTTTGTACGTATGGTAGACTTCCAGTGAGATTGTAAGAGGAGGATATGTTAGGAAAAGAAAATTTGATAACAAATTAAGACCATTGTAACATTTGATGTTAAATAAGTGTGGCTGAGTTAAAGATGTTTGCGTAAGTTGTAAAATCAAAATGTTTAAAAAGTGCCGTGAAACAAATAATTTAAGATTGTCCCTAGAAAACAGGGATTGCGCATAGATTGTTTTAGTCAAGATTACATTGTGACAATAACATTCGTCTCGAAACAAAGTGTTTGTGGATTATGTGCTCCTACTTCCCCCACCCCACTCCCACACATATCTCTGGATCGTCCTTTTAAAATAGCAATATTTGATCCTTAGAAAAACTAGCAACACAATTGTAAATTGTAAATATCTTATTATCCACTCCCCTCAGGGATTTTCAGGGATAATTTACAACACTGGTTGGGGGACTTTGCCAGACTGCTTAGGTGCAGTTTACAAGTAATGAAGGGATGAGTATTGATGCCGCCATACATGAGGATATGTTAGGAAAAGAAAATTTGATAACAAATTAAGACCATTGTAACATTTGATGTTAAATAAGTGTGGCTGAGTTAAAGATGTTTGCGTAAGTTGTAAAATCAAAATGTTTAAAAAGTGCCGTGAAACAAATAATTTAAGATTGTCCCTAGAAAACAGGGATTGCGCATAGATTGTTTTAGTCAAGATTACATTGTGACAATAACATTCGTCTCGAAACAAAGTGTTTGTGGATTATGTGCTCCTACTTCCCCCACCCCACTCCCACACATATCTCTGGATCGTCCTTTTAAAATAGCAATATTTGATCCTTAGAAAAACTAGCAACACAATTGTAAATTGTAAATATCTTATTATCCACTCCCCTCAGGGATTTTCAGGGATAATTTACAACACTGGTTGGGGGACTTTGCCAGACTGCTTAGGTGCAGTTTACAAGTAATGAAGGGATGAGTATTGATGCCGCCATACATGAGTGTGGAAGTGAGATAGACCACTACACCAGGAACTACGTGCCCTACTCTTTACGAAGAGTGGGTTCTTTAACGTAAGATAAGATAAGATTAATGTCAGATACACAGGGGGTGGTCTCCCAATCCCCCGAGCCACGGGCTCATGATAAAAGTGTTTGACAATATAAAAGAAAAATCGATTAATTAATATCTCAATAGCAATCAATTAACTTTAAAAAAAATAACATCCATCTATAAAAATAAATCGGGTCAAAGGCAATTGCTGCATTGACAGCCGATAAAATTTAACTTAGTTAAAAGTCTCCGAAAGGATGATGCATTAGGTGCGTTTTTTACAGTTTTTACGTCCCACAGATTTATTACATGAGCAGGGGCTTGTGAGACGAGGCCTACGGTTTATCTTCCTTATCCGAGAAGACTAGAAAGTCTAACCGTTTTCAGTTGTTATTACAAAGGCAGCACTTTCTCCTCAGTTATTTAAAGACTCTGAGTGTTGGTCCGGCCGGGGTTTGAACCCTCAACCTCCCGCTCAGCAGACCGGCGCTTATCCCATTGAGGTAACCGGGTGGCGGTCAGATCTGCAGTTGTTGTATATTCGAGTATTTATACTCGAATATTACTAATCAATGATATGTTCATCGTGAAATTCAATATTTCCCTATCTCACAATGGTGAATACACACACCTTATTCGATGGTACGGAGAATGTGCGAGTTGCGTATTATGTTTCTGATATATAATTTGCATTACAAAAAATGCTAAGAAACTGTCAGGAGAGTAAAGGAACATGTGACTTGTTTGATTGCAGTTGCTTCATTATTTTAAAAGTGATGATGGATATTTTCAAAATGCTACAACTATTTGCTTCTTTTATATTTCATTTAACTATGGTGTAGCAAATCTCAATAAATATTCAATATACTAGAAAAGAGTAATAAAGTTGTAAAATTCTGTTTTAAGCTTTGAAGACATGTTTAGGATATATCAGTACCCACTGTTATTTCAAGGATGTTTATGAGAGAAGTGCACTCATTGACAGGCAGTACAAGAGAGGTTAAGTTCAATAACTACTTCCCTTTAATCCGGCTGTTCCCTCATAAGCTACGAGTAGACATCTCAAGACATCAGTTAGCTTCCCATATACAGTGAAGCTCGCGTACGAGAAATGTCCGCCTCGCGCGTGGTGAAGGCAGGCAACAAGGGAATACAGCGGTTTATGAAAAGGCAGTCGTTGTCCATCCACTGACTGGTTTATTTTTGACCCAATATTTAGTAGTTTATTCTTTGACAACCACCCTTACTTTTACCTTTAACCACTCAGTTTTAATTCTTGATATCAATGAATTTGCCGAAACTCTTATTGCCGTGGAAACACAGTTACGTCAAAAGATCAAAGAATTGGACCGACAATTGCTCAAAACGACAAACAGCTTTCAAGTCTTTTTATTCCTTCCCAATTGGACGTATCCGATTAACGGTAATTTAAAAAGGCCATTTATCCATCAACTATTTCCACCGAAAATTATCGTTTAATAGTGGGATCACCATGGGCAGTGCAGCAAGTTGGGGCAATCGTGAACAGACCTCTCCGGACACCGCAGAAGCGTTGATTTCACACGAGGAATGGGAAAGGCAAGGCCGAGAAATGCTGTCGCGACTCCGTATCATTCCACCAGTTCAACGAAGAAGGGCCGAGTCAGTTGGTTATCCCACTCAAAATGGAATCTATTGGGTCTACTGGAGACCAAAAGAAGCGAGGCAGCAGGCAGCCGGAGGCAAAACTGGAAATCAGGGGGTCATTACTTTTGAGCAAAACAAGAAGACAGATTGATTCAAGAAACGCTTTGGACTGTTTTCGTCTCGCAAATCTGTTTCTCCGTTTGTTTTTTTACTTAATGCGCTGTAAATGACTCGCCTTCCCTTTGTATTAGCGTAATTTGTCGGTGTGTGAGTATTCATCTTTTATTTTTCTTGTGTGACTACAATTAACAGAAGGGGATAATGGGGCGCTTATGCCTTATACGACTCGTATACTCGTTCATTTTTTTTTTTGCACCAGTATTTTTCTGTTAAGATAGTTTTACACTGAGTTAAAAAATGAGGTTTATTTCATATTTTACGTTGTAACCCTAAAAAGTAATCAAATGAAAGGCGAATAAAAATGAAGAGAAAAACATCGTAAATATCGCTTGTGAAAATAATGTAAAAAATGGAACGCTGATTCTAGGGCGTTGATATGTTTCCAAATGATTTCGTTTACCGTAAAAAATGTATAATATATAGATTTAGCTAGGGCTAAAAACGAAGCTCTTGTTAATATCTATAGTTTACTCAAACAAAATATTAAATCGTGTAATGGTAAGCGGCGACGGCAACGAAAACAGACAAAAAAAAATCAGTAGGTTTAATCAGCAAAAACACAACTTTGCACGTGCAGCACACTTTTTTTGTACATTTCTCTGCCGTTGTTTTGCACGACTACAACGTAGTCTTTTTTTCGCTGCCACTCATTTTCACCTGGGTGACCGCAAGCATTTCTCATTTTCTTACCGCCGCTATAAAATTTTCACGTTATTCTTCCAACGAAATTGGTCTCCTTTGTTTTTTATCTCTTGCTCCAGCTCTTTCTCAGATACGCATGTGCGTACTTTAGAAATTGGTAAGATTACTTTGCATTGTGAAGATTTTTTCCTGTCTGTCTCTCTTATTCAGCATCGTCTTTTGATACACGTAAAATACAACAGTTTGAGTCGTGAAATGTGATAAATACGAAACATTCTTGAATAAATAATTGCCTTCAGGCGATCCCACAATACATTGCGTATTCATGAAAATTATCATCTCTTTTAAGGTTTATCTGGAAAGTTTTCCTATTCAAAAGCTTTTCCATTTTTTAAGTTTTCCCTCTCTCTCTCGCCATAAATGTCGAAAAAGTCTATCAAAGACTTGTTTGATGTCGCTCAAAGTCATGGGCCAAACTATGTTGACGATAATCCACGTATTAAAGCAGGTGCAAGTTTCGCGCGGTATCAACAAGAATTTTGCAAGAAATTTACTTCTAGTATTGCGAATAGATGTAGTATTTTATTTTTCAACGACAATCGTTTACAAAAAAGGCGCCTCTCCTTGTGCTGGTACATGCAAATATTCCTGTACCAGGTCAAAGAAGAACGTTTTAAAATTTTTAAAACCATATGGACCCGTGTGCGGGGACAGGTAAAGTTCAATGCCGTTCATCGTCATATTGGCGTCAAAAGAAGACTTGAGGGGACCTTTATGTCGCAAAATAGAATCAGTTTTAGTAGTGTATTAAAGGCCAAGGGGGCCGAACAATCTGCCAACTAACGAGCCAAGCGATTCGTGCGAGCCATGGGAAAAAATAAAGTTCATGAAATTGCAGATACAGTAAGCTTATACAGCTATTTCGAGAAAGGTTGTCGGAAAAAATGTGCGCGCGACAATCCCGAAAGGTAATATGGGATATGATCAATACACTGTTCCTGACACTGTAGCTGTCGAACCTGCTTTTGTTGCTTTCCTTTAGCACTCGCAGACATATGTCCATGGCCTTTCTTGCCAATCTCTTGAATTTCTTTGAAGAAAAGTGAACTCAAAACCACCCACCCACAATACCTTTCGGGATTGTCGCGTGCACTTTTTCCGACAACCTTTCTCCAAATAGCTGTATAAAAAATGTCTCCTCCCTAGTTCACTGTGCCTATGCGAGGTTTTGCTGCTGGAAATTAAAATTTGCAGAATTTCACAATCTTGGTCGACTTTCACTCATCAGGGTGTAGCACTTTGTATACTGCCTTGTTAATCCTTTTTCCTGTAACATTAGATATGTATATAGAGGACGTTACATGGCCGCGCGGAGATACGAAATTTTTCTTCGAGTGAAAATTTTTTTTCAACACCAGAAGAAGAATTTCGTATCTCCAAGTGGCCATGTAATGTTCTATTTATTATATAAACACCAATAGAGTACCAATGGAATACCAAACCATTTCACTTTAATAGTTTTTTGGTGTGAAAGGCGCGATTTATTATGTAGCCATAGCAAAGGTGATATTTTCACATGTGAAGATAACCTGTTATTTTCACATGTGAAGATATCAAGTTTTCGTGCGAAAGCTCACCTGGTATCTAATGAACAATAAAGACCGAGGCAAAGCGAGCCGCAGCACACGCACAATAGGACAAAAAAGGGAAAGAAGAGAGCTGAGATGGACTAACAACTACAACTGCAACAATAGACCTCTTTAGCCACAGGTAGCCCAAGCTCGAAATATGAGTATCGGCGAACATGGACATTGTTGCGTAACATTCAAAATGTAAGGATTTGTATGGGAAAAAAACCTATCAGGGGCGGATCCAGGATTTTTTTAGGAGGGGTTTCATTCGTCTCTTGCTCTACTTCAACACCAATAAACCACAAAGTTTTTTTTTTTTTCGCAGAATACCAGTTGTATTAGAAACCCGCAGGTCATCTCAGGGGTTGAGGGTGCGCACCCCTGCACCCTCCCCCTAGATCCGCCCCTGCCTATCGTTTCTGTAACCTACGAAAATGAAAGGATTTCACTAAAAAACAGCTTACCTTACTTAAAATGTGTGTTACGTCTCTCCTGTGTGGTCCACGGGCCGATTTATGGCCGCTTTTTGGGTTTTTATGTAAACGGTTTTCTCTCAGCTCTATATAAAGGTTTAAAAGGCCATAAATCGGCCCGTGGACCACACAGGAGAGAAGTAACACACATTTTAAGTAAGGTAAACTGTTTTTTTGAAATCCTTTCATTTTCGTAGGTTACGGAAAGGATAGGTTTTTTCCCATACAAATCCTGAAATTTCGAATGTTACGCAACAATGCCGATGTTAGCCGATGCTCATATTTCGAGCTTGGGGGACCTGTGCATTAGCTTGTATGTTTTGTTGTCCCAATATAGGTCATGTGATAATACTCTAGGGGACTGTTTCTTTCAAATTTCGTTTTATTCAATGAGCATAAGTTATGAAAAGACAAGGGGTCAAGTTTCCCTGGGACCTCTATTGGGAAAACAAAACATACGAGCTAAAGAGGTCCATTGCAATTACTAGCGTTCCTAGCGCTGTATATTCCTCTTAGTCATCCCCGACCGACTCGTATGTTAAAATCTTTGAACCAATTAGCGTTTAGTGTAGCCTGTCTACCGAAACCAATAACATGCAATAAGCTTTCCGGTTTTATTTTTTCGTTCCTCAAAAGAGAAAATTGGGAGCTTAAGCAACGGCGTTTTTGAGCGACGGACGTCAACCGGAAGTGGACTTTTTGCAGCATTGGGCTGTGGTTTGGTTGAAACCCTTAGGTAAATCGTCTTTATAGGAGAAAAGAAACTCAGAAATACAAATTTGGTAAAAGCCAGGCACATAAAAAGGGAGAAGGCCTCACTTCCGGTTGACGTGCGTCGCTCAAAAACGTCTTTGCTTAAGCTCCCTAACAACGGCTAACTCAAAACTTGCTTGTGTTTGTCGTACCAACAAATTTTTGTTCAAAAAATTCCATCTCCATGACCGTAGTTTTAAAAAAAATTGCTTGGTTTTAAACACAATAACAAAATGAAAAGGGGTAGGGTTTGAAGGCCTCGGCAACAAACCACTATACAAACTTCGCTTGAGTGCCCCCTCCCCCCGGGACTCCCTCCTCCCCAGGGAATGACCACTTCCCTCTCACCACCCCGGAAAGGCTTAATGTCCTATGATCTTGATTTACTCATGGATAATTAACAATTATTCTTTGAAATCGAGGTGAATAGTGGTAAAATATTTAACGAGGCACGAAGTGGCGAGTCAAATATTCGTAAAGCCACTATTCACCGAGATTGAAAAGAATAATTGATAATTGAATAATTAATAATAGATAATAGTCTTTCTATTATCCATGATTTACAAAGGGCGAAGAATTCCCCTACTGTTTTAAAACTGGATTCGAAAGTTTTTTTTAAAAGAATGCTTTTAATTTGTCAACTCTCGAAAACTTATCGATTGGCAACGCCAGGAACAGGTAACCTACAACTCCTTTTGACCCTTGCCCAGATGTGCCCAGATATTATAGCTAGATCTCCAAACTTACCCCTCCTTAGCTGGTGTTGTTGGAACCCTTGAAATTTCATAATCTATCTTTCTTATTCTGTTTATTTCCAACGTATAAAACCTCTTTTCTCTGTCAAAATACTATCAAACCGTATAAGAAATAAACACCACCACCACCGACAGCAAAAAAGCGTGGAAATACCCTTCACATGTCCACAGTCTCCCTTCCCTCCGGTCCCTTATGATTGTGTTAAGTGGCATCGAAGGCGCGAAAAATACCTTTGACCACGGGGTCGCAACACACGATCCGATACGTCGCAATGTATTTGATCGCATCACAAAGGAGTGCTTAGAAGTTGCGTCTGATCAAAACAATATCAATGGGATAATGAGCCGTAAAAGGCCTCATCCAGATGAATTTAACAGCGACGAAGATGATAGTGGGATATTTTCTGATCAAACGTCCAGGGAAATTGTCGCAGAAGAAGAAGATCCCGAGGCAAGTATGAGCTTGATTTGCTGATCGTTCGAAATGATATGCATGTCGAGTGCTCTACAACAGACCCTACGTGGTTTGAAGACCTTAAAAATATAATGAATTCTGGCAGTTTTAATTTGAGAAATGTTAGCATGCATGTAGGCAATTTTGGGGTCGGCCGGCCGTGGCTGTGGATTAAAGACAAGGATCCTCGCACTACGCCGGATATTGCTTTCTACTGTCAGATCATTTAAATACGATTGGAGTGCTACAACCATCTCCAAAAATGTTGAGACACTGCGGCTAAAAACTGGCCTTTTTTTACTTAAATTGCTGTTTGTCACAAATCTGTGAGATATAACACCCACCCCCTCCCTCCCCTCCGATCAAAATTGCTCCTCCAAGTTTAGAGCATGGTCTTGTATTACTATCAACTTTGGCAAGGGGAGGGGGGATCACAGGCACAACCACAAACTGTTTATTCAAATGTAAAAATCCTACTAAACACAACCGAAATATGTCTCACCGAGGTTTGTTCATTCCAGAAAGCCCTTAACGGGCTTTTTCAAAGGCTCTCAAATGCTCCAACTGAACAGTGAATACAGGAGCAATAATGGTGGACTTGAGAAAGCTGTGTTCACTTTTTCTTGCATTTTAATAAGTTAACCTGGTGTATTTTTTTCCTTTCATCAGGATCTCTCAGTATCTGGAAAAATTGAACATGTGACCTTGATTAATTTCCTTTGTCACTCTAACCTTCATGTTCCCCTTGGACCAAATGTTAACTTCATCATTGGAAGAAATGGAAGTAAGTTAAAAGATAAATATTTTTGTTTTTATGAGGTGAATACCATAAATCCTCTATTGAGCCCTCTCTCCCAATAAACCCCCTCTCTCTATTAAGCGCCCCCCCTTTTCAGGGGAAGAAGAAAAATATGGTTTTAATTGCAAAATATGTATTTGACTGCTATGAGAAAACAAGATCATTAGTTGTTTAGGTTAACATTGATTATAGTTCCACTTGTGTGCAATTTGTGTTATAATTTTAAATTATTTGGATAAAGTCGATATACATAGGACTGTATAAGACTCCAAATAAAACATTGTCTTGTCTTGTCTTGTCTTGTTAATGAGCCCCCCCCGCCCTTTCAATTTTGGGCCAGTTCTGTTACAGGTCAATTTTAATTTCAGGTTACATGTAATTTTGATTAAAGCCAGGTCGATTCTCAATTTTCTTTGTCTGCTAACCCTAAAAGACATAGGAAGTTGAAATTAACTTAGGTTACAAAAAAGTGTAAACCTGGAATCAAATTGACTGGTAGCAGTTCCATAGAGTTCTAGCTAGTATAGCCTGTTCACATACCCTTTAGTATTGTCAAGCATGCTTAAGGAAAAACAAACCGTGGGAAATTTAGTGACCGCTAGCACCGGCCTACAGACCTCATGCTGTGTGCTCATTCTTGGCTCCCTGTGTTCTCTTTGCATTTGCTTTGCTCACCTGCTTTCACAGATTGTGGGAAAAATGTCTGTGGACAGGCTATAGCTATTACAATGGTGGTGAACAAAACGCTGACCCCCAGTTCATAGACTACCCATATGGAGTATGCTGCTGAAGTTAAGTGATTTGGGTTAGGAATCCGAGTGAATCAAGTTTCAGGTCAGTTTTATCAGTATGATGACCCTAAATATAACCTGATTTACTCAGTTTCCTAACCCAAATCACTAAACTTTATTATGGCATAGTCCATTTTAGGGTAGTCCATTGGGTATTCCATGGACTTGAGGTCAGTGTTTTGTCCACCACTTATTATAAAGGAAGATCATCTTGTCTTGCAGGCAAGATGATGGAATTTTTTTTCTAACCCTGCCAAGATCGTCAGTCAATATGCCCAACTGTTTTGGAGTATCAGGCAGCGAAGAAAAATATGGTTTTATCAATTAAGTTGATAAAAACAATGTTTTGTGTTTGTCTCCCCAACTAAGGGACCACAGTTTTTTTTTTCAAATTAATCCCTTCATTTATTAGGCAACATAAAAACAGATGCCCTCTTCTTGTTAATGAGGTGAAAGTGATTATTGAACAGGATAAGTGTGAATTGAATGCAATATGCTTTTATATCTTAGCTTTGTAGGTGGCAAAAACAAGTGATCAGGATGAAAATGTATGCAGTGGGACTTAAAAGTTCATGATATGTTGTGTTTTTTAGGTGGCAAGAGTGCCATCATGACAGGCATCGTTGTGGCCTTGGGTGGCCGTGCTACTCAAACAAGCCGAGGATTGAGCCTCAAGAATTTTGTCAAGAAGGGATGCAGGTGGGTACATGGGTAGATTTGAAGATGAAAAAAAAAAAGAATGATACAGTTAAAACCCGTTTGTAAGAATCAATGGTTTTCTGCGAGCAGGATCTTTTTCCTCTTTAATACTGCAAAATTTCAGACCTTGTTTTGCCAAGGATGATCAAGCAGGTTCTCATGTGTGGTTTTATAATACAGAGCTAAATTATGACAAACATTTCACCCGAGGACAGAGTTTGACATTTGAGATAACACTACATGCTGTAATTTGTTAGGCTTATCATTAAATTAAGGACCAAACCCAAGTTTATTTATGTTTCTTGTACTCAACTACTAGATCTCCTTCACAGAAATTAAGAACCCACTTTGTAATTAAAAACACACTTAGCCTAAATTGACAATACAGGTGTAAGTACCCCAAAATGCAGAACCTCTTTTGCCAGACTTCATATATGCAGCAACCCTCACTTTAGTGAGTGCTCCAATAAAACACACATCTCTCTCTCTCTCTTTTGATTCTCAGTACGGCTGAATAATGTATTTTGGTACAGTGAAACCTTATATTAAGCGGACGAATGGTTCAGGTTGTTTTAAACATTTCTTTCTGTATATTTGTAAAACAAACCTGTTTTGGGGGACACCTCTTATAAAGCAGTCATCAGCAACTTGTTGGTGACCCCTTATAAAGGTTTCACGGTATTCAGAACTCAACAATTAAGGAAGCAACGTAAACACCAAGAACAAGAGGCTGAAAAGTTTTAGAGCTAAAAGTTTGTTATAAATGTGAAGCAAATGTTAGTAATTTCACTATAGGCAGGTGGGAAAATGGGTAGTGTATAAACCCTTTTCATGACATCATGTCCACGAATTTGGCGTCCCTAAAAGGGCAGCCATGTTGGCATCCCAAACTCGTCCTGTGGTAGTTGAACTCTTTTCGTATGACGTAAGTGCTTTCTTTCATTGCAATAAGTTTTCATAGCAGTGTTAGTCAGGGACACGCAAATAAAACACTCTACCAGTAAAATGGGAACAGGATATAAATTTTTCTGTAACCAAGGGGTCACATTCTAACAACTAGCCCCCCGTTGTTCAAATGATAGATAGTGCTATCCACCAGATAAATCACTATCCAGTCTACAGATAAGTATTAGGGTAGACCGTGAGCAGTTGTCCTTCTTTCTTCTGAGCCATGTGCGGTGAGCGAAAGGTAACATTGTACAAATTAATGGCAAATTTGAGGAGAGATTGGAGTGCAGAGAGGAAAGAAGAGGACTGCAGAGGTTTTACTGTATTTTGAATTACCGTTTCAGCAAATATATGGAAATTCTGATTGGCTGCCTACTCATCAATCTGTCAACAAAAAAGTCTCAGTCTTGAGGGAGTCCACTTTCTGCGCATCTATATTAGATGCAGTTTCTTATTTTTTCTTTGCTTGGGCTCCGCCCTCGTTTCTCACGGCTTAGCCACTCGCCCCTCACTCGTGCCCTTGTTTTCTTGTGCTTGCATTCTACTGCACATGTCTCAAAAGAAAAATAACAGACTGCTCACAGTCTAGCATTAGGGAGATCAATTGTGTTATCCAGTGGATAGAGATTGATCCAGTAGATAGTGCTATTCGCCTTTTGAATAACTATAGGGCCAGACTAAATCTCTTCCCTGAATTTAATGAAAGTAAGACCAAAACTAACTTTATTAAATTGTGAAGGTGTATGTAGCCTCTTGTTGTCTCTGCTAATCATTCCAGTTCAGGACAAGTCTCAGTCCAACTACGTAATAAAGGGAGTGATGCATATAAAAAAGCTGAGTATGGTGATTCCATAATTATTGAAAGAAAGATTACTGCAGAGGGTGGCTCTTCGTACAAGATTAAGTCTACTGAAGGTACAGTTCTGTCCAGTCTATTTCTGCCTTTAAGGATTTGATGTATGTCAGCAGTATCAAAGTTAATTGACAGCTGTCAAAATGGGCATTCTTTGACCTGTATCACAAAATTGTATCATGGGCTCTGGTGTACTTGCAATCAAAGTCACATATTTTTTGAAGCTATCAACTGGCCAGTCTATTGATTGTTTGTTTGATTTCATTTGCGTCCAATCTGTATGGGCTTTACAGTGGCTTGTCTTTGGCATACTATTGTAATCATTACAGATCTCCTGCTCATATTAATTATCTACTTACTTGATGAAAATATTCTTGGGATAAGTTTTTTGAAGCATTTCAGAACTTTGTATACTTTGTTTTTCCTGGCACACTGTCAACAAATGCCACACTGACAAATCTGGAAATGGAGTCTCCATGACTTCATCAGTGTCATAAATTATTGCATTTAATTCTCCCATCTTGTACCCTTTACTCACACAAAGAACAATAATTACAAGGCAATAAAGGAAGGACGTCATAATGTATCGACTTATAAAGTGTTCAACTGGTCTGTTGCTAATTCTTAATCGTCTCTTACAGGCAAAGTCATCTCAGCATCAAGAACAGAAGTTGATTATATTGTGGATCACTTCAACATTCAAGTGAGAACATGATAGGTCATGTGGACTTTGAAATATAAAGAAATGTTCAAAGAAAAAGAACACTTTTGATTGGCTAATGAACCTTTAATGTCCGTCTTGTTTGGTCTGACCTGTTGACATCTTTTTGTCCATTTCCAGTCCTGAAAGATGGAGATATTAATACTAACTTAGACAATTCTACAAATCTTAAGTACAATCATCAGCGAAATGATATTGTTTGGCATGTCACACTGAACAGGTCATAAGAACAGGAGTTTTTTTAATAATAGACCATTTTACAGTTGTGGACTTACTACCCTAGCCTTCGAGTGAATGTGAGGCTGAGGTTGACCTTGCTTTAATACAAACCTTCTTTGCTTTGTTATGGAAATTGTTCTTGGAAACTACAAGTTAGCATAAGAATAACTTGATTTACGTAATAAAGTATGAAGGTTTGTATCAAAACAAGGTCACCGTCAACCTCGCTTCCATCCATAACTGTAAAATGGCCTATTTTGTTACAAGAGTTTATAAAATTAGAGAGAGATTTCCAAGCAAAATTTTGTTGAAAATGTAAAAAGTGGAAACTCTTTGTGTTAGTGAACTATTCAAACAAAAACCTACAGTAACAAAACTGAATGAAACCGAAAAGTCTTGGAAGAAATTTATAAAAACTTTTGGTTAGAAAGCTAGAAAACACATACAGTTTGTTGATAATTGGCCTGAATATGTTTGACAAATGATGTGTAGAGAGTCAAATACAACAACTACAATAAGTGTCAAAACAGTTTCCCCTTGATCTGAAATAACACTGTGGGTATTGATTATTTGGCTAGGAGACACTATTCAAAAGTCTATACTAGTAAAACTGTATCTGTTACATGCTTCCTCTTTATTGATAGTCAGGGGTAAAGTCTTTAATTAAATTTGTTTGATTTTTTCCAGGTTGACAACCCTGTGTCCTTGTTAAACCAAGACACAAGTCGGCACCTATTAAATAGCAATGACGCCTCTGATCTATATAAGGTATTACATGTATTTGTAGGGGTGGATTCAGGGGGAGGGAATAAGGGGTTGCAAGATTTCCCTCTTTGGGAAGTTTTCTAACTTGTTTGACTACCATACAAACAGACACTGTTTACAGGTAGCCATTATGACTCGAGGATCGCGAGGTTATCCGTATATTAAGATCTCTCCTTACAGATAACCCACCCAGCCCAGAAAAGGTTGGCCACACCACCTGCTAAGTCCCCTACTCTTTTCAAATGGTAGGGTGGGTTCTTTTACGTCCCACAAGAACCAGATAAGAGAGATGGGACTTACAGTTTTTCATCCTTATCCAAGAAGACTGGAATGTCTAACAGTTAGCAGATGTCATTACAAAGGCAGTACTTTATTACTCAGTTTGTTAAAGACACTGAAGTTTTGGTCTGGCTGGGTTTGAACCCATGAACTCGTGCTCAGCAGACCAGCACTCTCCCAATAATTATTGAGCTAACCAGGCGGCAGTTTGTTACATGAGTGTATAGAATGGGAGAGAAATTTTCTAGAAAATGTGTTTGAAAAATATCTAAAATGAGAGAACTTCTTTGTGTTGGCAAACAAAAAATGATAAAATGAGGCAGGTCAAATAATGGAAACCACTCTGGTAGTCAGCACATCAGGAGTTTCCAAACAACATTTTTTCTTGCACATGCCTCACTTTACCAAACATTCATAGCCCTCTGGTCATGGCCTGCACCCTATAAGTGATCACAAGAGCAGAAGCTGAATGGTATTTTTCACAGATGAGACAAATTAAGACCTGCTGTAGGTCAACAATTTCTGAAGAAAAACTACTGATATTGCAGTGATTGCCATGCATTACTCAGAGATATAATTCTAGGTCACTAGACTAAATAATGCAAAACTTTTCTAAAGGCTCAATAAAGAAGGCTCTTTGAAGGTACAATGTCTGGCTAAATATGTGGATTTGAAAAGTGACAAACAACCATTGTTGTTACATTCAAGTCTGTACCTCGAATTTTTTCAAAATTTATTAAAATTTCAAATTTTGGCTAAATTTGGCTAATTGAAATGTTGCTTTCTTGGATTTGTGAAACATCAGATGAACTAAGTGTGGAGTGATATACATGTAATAAGCTAATGATATAGTTTGGTGTTGTAGTTCTTCATGAAGGCAACAAGCCTGGAACAGATCAGTAGTGATTATTGGTCCGTTATGGAAAACAAAGATATTGGCTTAGCATTGCTACAGAAAAAAGAACAGGTAAATGTAGTGATTTCATTATTCTTGATGCAAAGTCATGTTTAAAGTTTCTTAAAATATAGCAAATTCCATGACATAGATATAGACATGGTGAATAATATGGTAAATATGTTTAGCCATACGGCTAGTTTACAGATATCCCCCAGGTAAAATTTAGACAAAAATCAAAATAAAAAATTTAAAAAATTCGCATTGCTAATTGCTTAGATTATGAATGTGTTATGATATAATTTAAAATGCCTTAACCTGAAATTATGATTTGATGAGAAAATTTATAAAAGTCCTTAAAATCTAAAACTTTAAACCACGAACCTTGCTAATAAATTCCTCAGTTCCAGCTAAAGCACAAAAAATGACCCCTTTAAGTGTTTGAAGTCTGTTTACACCAGAACCTTGAACATGCAGCCCAATGCACCTTCTAGATGATTTGAGGTTTTTACTTTTTCTTTGTATTTTTCAAGCAGGTTGAATAATTGTGACAGTAGCAAATCACCATTTACCTTAATGAAAAGCTAAAGCGGTTGCAAAATTCAAGATCTTATTTGCTTTGGGCTGCATTAGCCACCAAAATTAGGTACCTAAGGCAGTTTGGTTTTCATAACTCTGGTTTACTGGTTGACCCACAACAACCCAAGCACAAGGTGCTTTTCCACTGCTTGATGCTTGTTCATACAAAAGCGCATCCAATTCTGTTCTCTAAATTAAAAGTGAGTTACTTTTTGAAAGTCACGAACATTTTAAAGTAAAAGTCAGTGCTATAGAAGTCCTTGTTTCACAGAACATTCTGGATGTGCGGGCGGAGCTGCGTAGACGGGAAGCAAGATTCATCGCTGTGAAGCAAATAAAAGATGTCAAAGAGCAGATTCAGGAACTAAAAGGAGAACGTGTCTGGGCCGAGGTTATTGAAAACGAGAAGGTATGTGACTGAGATAGTTCTCCAAGACACATAACATTGGTGGCTTCCTTTGTTATTATCCTCACTACGTTTTGAATGAAAGGAGAAAGGAAGGGGGATTGACAGAACGTTTTTACTCTTATGGTCAAGGGGTTGGACGCTTATGTTCATTTCAGCAATTAAGAAACAAAGTCTCTCCTTTATTGATGAAGGAGCACTGACTTCTTGTCTTGGGCTTTCCACGACCACGATGGGGGGGGGGAGAACTTCAGGTACTGGCTGTAGGGCTTGCACTTGTATTTCTCTAGGAATCTATCTCTTCCTTGACTCCTGCTGTAGCCTGGTTTCCATCTGCTGCGGTCTTCTGTGCATACATGAAATTGGTCTTGTGTAGTACGTATGAGGTCTCCACACTGGTTAACTGGAGGGTTGGCCAGTAAACTGATCAGATCACTCGTAGTACTTCAGTTTTCTCTGGACAGTCTTCAGGAGCAGTCAGGAGCCCATTTCTTGAAAGTCCCGATAATTAACGGGCCCGTAAAGCTGTTGTTGTTTACATGCAAGATAGAGGTTTTTAATAGTTTTGCATCTAACATGATAAAACTATCAGTTCATGAAACAAAATGGAATAGTTTGCTGGCTAGAACCCATGCTGTTATTCTTTATATTTCGATCTGAATATTTGATTTTGGTCAGGAAAAGTTACCAGGACTTTTGAGAAACGAGCCCCAGGCTGTCTTGTGAGCTTCCTTTACAATGGATCGGAGGTTCCTTACATATTCAGAGAATGCTTCTGGCTGATTAGACTCACCACCATACATAACGTGCTAAGGTAATCGTTCTTTGTGACCAATCAAAAAGTAATGCATTGTGTATTGGGTTCAGGAATAACACTGGACTTGTATGCTATCGTAACCAAGGGCTGATGAGCATCCCAGTGAAGCTGGTGCTCTCTAAGACGTATTTCACCAGCATGTCCTGTGTGCTATCACTTTCTGGGTGGTATGGTGTTGTTCTGGTTTTTTGTTTTGAAGAGGGCACACATCTACTGAAACAGCTGGGCTTTAAATCTGCGACTAAACCTGCACATTACCGTGTTCATCAGGTGTGAAGTAGTCTCTACCAACCTGGATGTACCTTTGACCAGACTTTGCAGTCTACAGGGGACCCATGGTATCCAGTGAAATTGTCTTGAATGGGTAACCTGGAGAGCTGTTGTTAAGGGGTGTTCTTCCTCACTGCTACAGGGACTTCCAACGTAAGTACTTTTCACACTGTTGCCACTAATCTTAAACATCATGTTTCTGGCCATACCAGTAAAAGCATTCTTGTAATGGCTCCAAGGTCTTGCTTACTGCAAGGTGACCAGGTGACAACACTTTGTGAAGGTTACTTTGAGTAACATGGATCTGGTAATTGCTGACTGCAGTCGGGTCCCATTCCCAACCTTGGTTTTCCATTGGCAGTAAAGGACACCATTATCCAACTGTAATCTGTCCCACTGCACCCATAGGCACTTGGTTGCGTTACTGATTCCTTGTCTCTCTTGTAAAGCGGGTTGCCTGGTTTTGTTTGACCTCCAAGCCAGAGTCTGCTTCATGTCAGGATCCACTGGTTTTGTGGACTCCGGAGTGGCCGTTATCCAACTGGATACCCACGTACAAGTATGGCTGTCTACTTCGTTGGTCTGAACTGGTCAATTTTCTTTCCATCCTTTAGAGGGCGTTGTGATGGTGCATCAGCATTCTGGTGCTTTCTTCCTGGTCGCCTGGTTGATATTCAATCTTGTAATCTTACTGGGCTAACAACTCTGGCCACCTGACCATCTGTCCCTCTGGTTCTTTAAAGCTCGGGAGCCATTTGAGTGTGTTTTGGTCCATTCATAAGCCTTTGGTAGGTGCTTGGCACGTTACAGAGACCAAATACCATCACCTGGAATTCAAAGAGGTCATGTTGAGTCATGAACGATGCGTCCATCACTACCTGCCAAGAGCCGCTGGCCAGATCTATCATGCTGAAGAATTTTGCACCTGCTAGACTGCATGTAAGGTATCATCTATGCATGGTAGTGGGTAGGCATCCTTCCTGGTCACATCTTTCATTTTTGCAGTAGTCCACACAAAAACGAGTACCACCATCTTTCCTCTTCTTGAGTAGAATGATTGGTGAGACCCACAGGCCAATAGACGGACAAACAACCCCATTCTGCAAGATGCCCAACATTTTGGAGTTGGGAACAGGACTTAACTTGAGAAAACAAGCCATTGTCTCCAAGTGTATCTCATAACTGGCTCAAAGACTTGAGATAAACTCAGTCAGAGACTCGTTTATTTGGTAAATCAATTAGCATATTTACATTACAATTATATGTGATTAGATACAAGAGAATATAGTGGTTTCTTTTTATATGAAAGGTCTGGAAAACTACTTCATTCTAAACAAAATCGTATCAGTAAAATGGTGTAGTTTCTGCTTTATTAGCACATCTTAATTTTTTTAGCTTTGCATGAAGCATGTTTTTGCTTGATTTCTAACACAATCATGATTAACCAAGTTTTGGTCATGTACGAAAACCCATTTATCAACCAAGAAATACCATGGGAAACTGGTGTGGTGTGTGTGACCAGACTTTCCCGAGATAAATTTAACATGGGAAATAATCATAGATACGTCAAAAAGAAGAAAGGAATCACTCATGACATTTGATGTGGTAAATAGCTAAAGCCTTTCAATGCCCCAAGCATGAAACCAATCAGGATTCTTCATTGGACACCAACATGAAACCGCAATAAATTTTGTTTATTTGAGCTGGTTTCTTACGTGTTGTTTCAGGAAAGATCGATGTTGACATGGTAGATTTTCAATGAAACTAACAGGAAAATTTTTCAAGGTTTTAACGCACGATTTCAGCTGGTTTCTTGGGCCAGATGTAGGAAAGGTATTTACCAAAAATGTGTTCTAATCCTGACCAATATTCAAAATAGGCTGGACTGTAAAATTTGACTAAGGCCTAGATTAAAAAAAGTGGTGTATACCTCACTAATTTATCGGGACAACCACAGCAGATGAAATCTGTAAATTTTCAACATAACATAACACGAAATCCTGCCATGGTCGACAGCTTATTATGGCTGCAATAGCGCGAATAAATCTGTAAGAGTAGCTAAGTTACATTGGTTATTAATTCATGGGTAACCACATGTTACCACGGTAAACTAAACCCACGTTAAATTTACTGCGGCTTTTTTACTGTGGGAAATGCCTTTTACTGTGGTGTGTGCAACCGCACCTATAGAAGTAAAAAAGTCCATTTCACAATCCATCGTCAACATCAGTTAGAGGAAATTGTAAACTGGAAACATGGGTGAAATATTTCGGAACAGATATTTGAACGTTTGCAGTCTCTACTTTCTTCCAACTAGAACTAACATGTCATGTTTTTTTGAAGTAAGTATCACACTTTGTTAACTTCACTACAATTATTTGCCATGGAAACTTAACTAAGTGAATTTGCTATTTATAGTGAATTTATAGTTAGGATTTAGAGCAAATGTTTTTTCTTTATTACAGGCAGTCTCTAAACTGGCAACATCTGTAGAGAAGGATAAGTCTGAACTACCAAAATTTGATAAAGAGATTCAGGAAAGTGAGGTAACATTATGACTTTTTTGACAATATTACTAATATACATTCCCTGCAAATTGACAATTTGTATGTTTTCTTTGATAATTCTGAGAAATTCGTTTGTTGTTTACTCAGCTTTCAATCCTTCACACTTAAACAAGGGCAAAAAACTAAAAAGTGAAACATCTCTTTAAGACGGATAGTCAGACTGTTGGAACTGTAACTAGATGTCCATCTTTGAGAGAAGCCCTCTTATCCATAGTCATGGAAAATACTAAAAAATTACAGGCACCAACCAGTGGTGCCCATTCCAGGAAGTTGTCTTTTTTTTGGTCTTGTTCGTAATAAGAAAAAGGTCAGATTTTTGCTTGTTTGTTGGCATTAACAACATGTCCATTCACAAAGGCACTGGGAACGGTCACACAGCGGAGTTAGATAAAGATCAAAGTTTGCTATGGCTAGTATTACATTGACGTTGGAGTTGTCGTAGCAATATAATGATGTCATTGTCTGTTTTACCTTCAGGAGCATTAGAGTTGTGAGTCTCATAAGCTTTCTGCCTGATCTTAAATTATTGGAACCTTTTTTAATGGTGTCTTCTCTTTTTTACTTTTCTTGAATCTTGCTTTTTCAAACTTTTTTTCGCAAAGTCTCTGAGTCTCGGATTTTTGCGATAACTACCCTTGAAATTTTCTTCTGACCTGTAGCTTTTCTTATTTCCAGGAAAATATTGACGAGGTTGACCAGCAAATAAAAGCAAAAGAAAGTGAAATAAATACGTTAAAAGATAAAGCAGCAAGTTTAAAGACAGAACAACAAGAAATTGTTTTAGAGCTCCAGGAAAGGAAAAAGGCTGTTAAAGACAAACAGGTGGATATTATATTTGTCCACTGTGCAATCACTAGATCAATAGGTATACCCCCTCTCCTCCGTAAATGAAATCATCCAAATATATATTCTTTTCCTATCCGAATCGTGCAGAACTGGAATATTCTACCAGGGACCTTGAGATGCGAGAATGGCAATGGCAGGGAAAATGTCGCTTAAAAAGTGAATTCACCGTTTTTCAATCTTCATCAGGATTTTTCCAACTGGCTTTGTCAAATAAATCCATAAAACGTGAAATTAGGCATTTTCACATCGTAGTCGTGCACAAAAAAGCAAGGAAATGTACGAAACAGTGTCATTCAAGTGCAAAGTTGTTGTTTTGCTTATTAAACCTGTTGATTTTTTGACGTTCTGGTTGCCGTCACCGTCGTCAGATCTTAAGGTCCCTACTGCTGAGGACTGACTGGACCGTTTAAAGAGTGTACTAAAGCACTTTGCTAGTTTGATTTAATTGTCCGTCAATAGTTTTGAGAATCGTGGCAGCGTTGATACACTCTCTTTATTTACAGGCGAATTAGGTTTTTTCTGATGTGTTAATTTTCTTTACCTTTCTTTTTCCGGTTTGTTTTAGTCCACTTTAAGGCAATTGCAGCGAGACATTCGGGAAGCAAAAAACGAGCATTCTGTTCTTCAAAAAACGATTGAGGACTTAAAAAGTTCTGAGTAAGTATGTCATAAAAAGAAAAATTAAGTTTCAGTTATTCATTTCATCTTCTAGTGGTATCAAGCAGGCTAATTACATGGTCTTTGATTTGTCACTTTGAGCGATAGGCCTCTGGAAAGTGAATGGTGCAATACAAAGACCAAATGGCAAATTCCTGTTTGTTACATGTCAGCCTTCCTTTACCACAGCATGTACACAGGATTATCTTATCAGGTTTAAAAGTTTACAGGCGCACTGTTTAGTGATCAGTTTACCGGTTTATTGTTGTTCCCTCAGGGAGATGAAAAACAAGGAAGAGGATCGGCAGCAAAGTCAGCAACTGTTGGAACAAAAAACTGAGGAACTGAAGGAGTATCAAGATGAATTGGAGGAACTTAACAACCAAACTTATACACTCCTTGAGGAGGAGAAGGGTTGCAAAGAACAAATGGCGAAAGTGAGGTAAAACAGACTGACAGTCTTGTCAGGTCAAGGGTACCGTTAGATTATATTAATAAATTGATTATTTGAAAAATGAGTCTGTTAATTGTTGCCGCAACCAGTATCAAATTCAAATCTGGTTTACTGTATGGGTAATCAGCGGTGAATTTTTACGATAACTTCTCTGTATTTGGTCAGATTGAAAGGACCTTGAATTGATAAAATTGCTTTGAATACATTCACTTAAAAATTAAGAAAACTGAGCCGGTAGAAATGTCATAAGTACCTTGTGTGTTTTTACCGCTCATTGCGGATGCAGAAATGCATAGATGAGTCTGATATCTACAACTACCAACGGATTCAGCTTTCGAATAATAAATATGGTATATCACATTATGGGTGGTTCCAATATGTTCTTTAACCTCGGTTTCAAAACTTAGAGCAATGTTTGTAGGGGAAAGATGACAAATTGAAGAATCGAACAACGCAATCCAATAAGCTAAAAAGACGGTTTTCATATTACAGCTGACGTAATAATTTCTAAGGTTGAGTAGGAAATTGCAACTTCATGTGTGACACCCTTACTGTTTGTATCTGTCACTGCTATTGTCCTTCACAGTTACTGATAGTTTTTTAAAAGAGACTGATTTTTATCTTTCATTGCATATAGACAAGATGAAGACAACATACGGAAAAAAATCAGAGATAAGGAAAGACAGATACAGCAAGTCAAGTATAGAGCCAATGATCGACTTTTAAAATTTGGTGCCTGGATGCCAAAGTTAGTCAATACAATAAAGACTGCTGTTCGTGACGGGAGGTTCACCAAGCCACCCAGAGGTCCCATAGGTGACAGATACCTTTATACTGTTAACAAAATTCAGATCCCTTGCTGTATAACAGGCGTCACCATTGTTAAAACATTTGTTAATTCCATGCTTTCCCTCTCTTTCCTAAATTAAACACATTTACACCGTTGTCATATCTGAGGTACGGTAAAACGTGATACAAAACGGGTGGAATAAGGATGATACGCGTTGTTACCGCCCACGAATCAAACCGAATCAAATCGGTTGTTACAGATTGCGAAAAGTTGTTGCAGAAAGTAGTGAGTTGTTCTACTTTTTGCAACAAAATCTGTACATGTTGCACGTTTTACCGGCCCATGGCAGACTTGCTTTGCAATAAGCGACCAACATTAGTGACTGACTTGTCTCCCGCTAAGTTTATCCAATACGAAGTCAGTATTTACACAACTTGCAACAACCTGATTTGCTGCAAGACGGGTTTGAATGGGGTCACTAATATGCACTTCACTGCGTTTCAACTCTTTTTGAAGTAATGTTGCGAATCAAGTTAAACGCTTTTCTCGCCCGTTTTACCGTAGGTTTCCTTAGTTTAACAGTTTGGGAAGTTTGTTTTCAAGCTAATTGATAGGTGAATTAGAGGTGCAAAATCACTTGTCAGTAAGCTTAAGATCCTTGCTTTGATTTATTAAGGAATATGCGTGTGTATGTAGTGCGGGAGCCACTGAACGCTTATAGAAGTGGAATGAAATGCTATCTTATCACAAAATTAAGAATGTTATTGTAAATGCAAACATGTGTGCAGGAATCGGGTTTCTTAGAAAAACCTTGTGATGATAGTTATCATGATACAATTTTTTGGTACCTAAACATAGGGATAAATAGACCAACAACATTTTCTGTTTTGCTAATTGTCTTTTTAAAGGTTTTCATGTCCATTTGAAAGACCAAAAGTGGTCGTACGCAATTGAAGTATGTTTAAAACATCTGGCCTATGGATTCTGTGTTACAAACTATCAGGACATGCATACGATGAAGAGTCTCATTGCTCAGACCTGTCAAGCATTCTTTCCTGTGGTACTGGTGTGCCCTTTTCAGGTGCGTGTATTGCTCCAGTATGTGTAAGTTATGAATTTACATTTATTTATTAGGTACATTAGGAAGCTGTAGCAACGGCGACGGTAAGGGCCACAAGAACGTTAAAAGAGCAATAATTTTAATAAGGAAAACAACAATTTCGCGCGTCACGTGCAGTGCGCTTTTTGGTTCTTTTCCTTGCTGCCCCTTCACGTCCATGACATCAGATTATCTTATGCGACGTATCCATATCTAGTCCCTTTTATCTCTTGCTGTTATGTATTGACTTGAACTTTAAAAAAGTGTTGGAATACTCTTTGTGATTTATTGCTTGGGTGACAATTGTGAGAATGCGGGGAGAGCGTATTTTTGTCAGTTCATCCGCCTTTTGTGTAAAGTTAGTTGGGCAAAGAGGGACTATTTATTCTGACTTTTTATACTTTACAGGAGACTGTCTATGACTTTTCATCATATGTAAGTATACGTAAAGCAGATGGAGCGTAAGCAACTACGACGGCGACGGCAGGAAAAGCTTCACTTAAAAAGTGCATTCGTGCTTTTTCAAATTCCATCTGTCTTATTCCACCTCGTTCAATTTGTCAAATGCCGTCGAATGTTTCTGGACTTAAATTCTAGTAGACCACGTTCGATATATTAAAATTTTAACATGACTCCGGGCTTTTCAGGTCATTTTTTTTTTTTATATTTGGTTTGTTTTTCTTTGTGCTCAAGTCTCTTCTGGAATTGCGAGATAATCGAGTCGTGAAAGCCTCGGAGTCATGTTAGAATTTTGATATATCGCACGTGGGCTATTCTGTATGTAGTTTAGAAAAATGAAGTTGTTGTCGGTTTTTGTGCATTTCTTTGCCGTCGTCGCACGACCACAACTTAAAACTGCCTAATTTCATGTTTTCTGGAGAATGTGAACACAGGACAACGATTTTTTGTTTCTTTTTAGACCTACTCCGTCAGAATTCCACTCCAGAAAAATTCACCAACATTCGAAAAATTCAACGACATGGAATAAGAGCGATAAATTTTTAGTCAGTGGGAATTCTCTTTTCTCGCAACTTCTTCGCCCTCGTCGTCTTCGTCGCTTTAGCTCCGTAGTATTCACTGCTGTCGTGTGTCCTGTAATGTTTTTACACCAGTCTACTTTGACGTCTCAGACGTTAAACGCGTCGTGTTGACTTTAACGTCTCTAGCATAAAAACGCCCGTTAGACAGCTGCAATAAAATAAATTCAAGGTTTTGAACTGCAGTACAGTGTTTGGTTTTGACTTGCCACGCGCTCGACGAATATGATTTGAGTAGTCGATGGTTAAATGGTGTAGAAAATGATCTCAAGGGAAACAAAAATTGTTTCGACTTTGCTGGAGATTCGAGTTACCGGGGGTAACATTGCTGTAAACGTGTGAGGGAAATCTAGGAAAAATCGATTTTGGTTCGAGTTAGCGCGAGGTTCGAGTTTGCGAGGGTTTCGAGGTCCCGGTAGTCGACTGTAATAAGGATAATAACTGTTTATTCACAAATCCAAATCGAAAAAGTGAAAAGGAGATAAGAGAGGTTATCCCTTTCTAGTTTATCTCCTGATAATAAAATACATTAAGAAATAAATTATTTACAACTGTTTAAACTAGTAACTATATATGTATATAAAACATCACACAGTAAAAGAACTTAGTGTTCACTAGAAAAATCTATAAGATAACGTCTCAGTCTGTTCTTGAAAATATTCAAATTCTCCGCCTCAGCAACTTCCTTTGGGAGATTGTTCCACTTATCTATTATGCGTATAAAAAAAGAATGTTTAAAACTATTTAAAGTTGCTGATGTAAGCTTAAGTTTAAAACGATGGTTGGCTCTTAAGGGCCGAAAATCATGTGCAAATGTAAAAAATGCCGAGGGATCAAGTCCATTAAGTCTATGAAGACTGTACTAACAACGCTATAGTTGTTACGACCATCTCTGTGGCTGTCAACGACAACCTCAAATCACTGCTACCTCCATTTTGACCACTACCAACTTCAGTACAACCACTTCCTTTATCAACGCGTAAACTTCTAAGTTATATTTATACTTACCAGGGAAGAACAAACACCAAAGGGGCATGAATGGGTAAAATTTGAGAGATTCAATATGGATGTCATTCAAAACTAATCGGCGAAAAAGTCTGCCCGACGTTTTCCAAATTAGTTTGTTATTTGTTTGAACGCCGAGTGCTACTTAAACCCCTGGGAATCATCCTTGTTTGTGATATGGACGAGAGTTGTAGAGTTTTCCTTTGTCAATTGAAAGTTTACAAATTGTAGTTGAGGACAAGAAACAAAATCATTTAATACTGAACCTAATCTCTGTAATAGTTTACGCTAAAACCATTGATTTTGTCTTTTCGTTTTTGAAGAAACCAAACTGCCAGTTTCCAACTATACTGGACCTGCTAGACATTGATGATCCTGTGATAGCAAACTGTTTAATAGATCAGGTAATGAATATACAGCAATATAGCTAGCATAGGTATGTTGGCATTATAAGAAATATTTCTAAAATTGGACTTGTAGTGGAGTTAAATGAATTTGCCCCACAACAGTTTTTAAGAACGTACACCCTTTTAAAATTTGGGCTTTAGGAATTCATCTGGATTGCTGTTCATCTGCTCTTGCTTATACAGTGGAATCCTTCCTTTGGGACACCTGAAATCAGGGGACACAAAATTTGACCCCGAAAAACTGTTCTCATAATATTTGTATCTGTTACCTCTATTAAAGGGACGCCTCTATTCAGTGGAAAGGGATTCTTTTTCTGGGTCCCGAAACCCAGATTTAACCTCCATTCAGGGAACAATTTAGGACTTATACACGATTGACCACAAAAAGGGGTGATAAGTCAAAGTGTACACTGATCACAATAATGACGTCTTTCATGAGATGAGCAATCTTACTTAAATCAATGTACTGCACTTGGGGCATTCAACACACTATATCGCAGGGAAAAGTCAATCACGACTTAATACACTACTTGAAATAATGATTGCAGTAGATTCCGAAGAAGAATAGAAAAAAATATTTTCTTTGTTGGTTAATTATTAACAAACCCCAGCCTAACCTCTATTCAGGGGACACTTGCCTCGGTCCCAAGAGTGTCCCCAGAACAGTGGTTCCATTGCAGCAAGGAAACGGTAGAAGGAATGGCAAGACCGATTAACGCTGCTATGCAGGCATACTAGTTTGTTGACTCGATAATTTCACTCTAAATGATTTTCGACCTAAACAGCTGAGTCACGGTCACACAAGAAAGTTGTGTCGTGCTACCATCTTCATTCTACCAATCAATCTGGTGTGTGAATATGTTATTATCTACAACCACGCGCTAAGAACCGTGAAAAAAATCATGATTGCAGTTGTTAGCAAAATTTATCTTATGAAACATTGTGATACTCTAATTACTTTAACGGAGAATTTGGGGCGGGGTTGGGAGGCAGACTGGTTAGTCCAAACCTCCCACTTCCCGTGCCCTGTATTCCTGGCTCTCGCGCCTTTTTTGGCATCCTCCCTTAAGCCCTTATGTAAGGCAGCGATAATCAAAATGATTGTTACCTTATTTTCCTCAATTCCTTCAGCTTCCCACCCTTTTATAATCATCACCTCCCGCCCTTTCCTCTCTCTCCCCCTGAACCTTCAGGCCACGTATTCTCCTGGACTCCCAACCCCTTGTGCTCCCCTACAGGATTGAATCAGCGATTACATATGCAGCATCTTTTGAAAACTTGACCAAACACTCCCCACTCTCTCATTCGTAGTTTCTTTTACTGTATGTGTCAGGTTAAGAGTAGAGTTCAGTTTTGGTTTTTCAGGTCTTTGACTTATACCTTTGATTAGAAAATCTTCTCTATATCCAATTGTATTTCAAGATTTAGATGTAAAGTCTCTCTTTTCACAGTCTGGCTCGTGCTTTCACAGTTTTGCTTGTGTAAGTTGGTGTATTCATTAGTCGATTGGCCACGAAACACTTGCGGGCCCTTAGATGCGTCTATGTGCGAAACATATCTTGTGAAACATGTACTCAAGAGGAGTGTATTTTTTTAGCTTCATATAGAAACTACATTGGCCATAGAATCCAGAAAACAAGCTTGTGATTTCATATGGTCTACGAATGCACCATCTACTCAGGTAAACACTACACCCTCTCAACTAGGTCATAGTAATAGAAGCAGTATGTGAACATGATTAGTGTTGCTTTCGTGTAAGCACCCTTTGGACGGTACTAACATTAAAATACGGAGCTTAAGAAACAGCGTTTTTGAGGGACGGACGTCAAGCGGAAGTAGACTTTTTGCATCATTGGGCAGTGCAAGCAATACAAATTTGTTAGCGTCAAGGCATATAAAAAGGGGGAGCGCCTCACTTCCGGTTGACGTGTGTCGCTTAAAAACGTCTTTGCTGAAGCTCCCTAATGTACCTAGGGGAGGTCCAGACTCTTCCTTTTTACAATAAAAACCCGCGAGTAAGAACCTGGTTTTTAAGAACCTGTCAGACTAAAATTTACCAGTTAGGCCCCCACTATACAAGAACCTGTTTCGCCTGAAATTTGAAACAGGATCTTATTTTCTATAATCTATAAAAAAAAATTCTTCTACTCTAAATTTTGTGGAACCCCCGCACATTTTTGCTCCAAGCATATGCCCCGCTATGGATGCGCATGAACATGTTGTGTGAGAAACGTATCGTGAAAAATAACGTGAAATTTGTGAGCTACGAGCGAGCCTATCTTGGGCGTCATTTTTGCCAGTTGTTAAATTTCCATGTGAGATTGCGCCAAATGTCGCCGGCGATAAACACGCGAAGAAATGTTTTGCTTGCAATGGCTCAGACGCGCAAGGAAATTCCACTGCTGTAATATCACGTTCACGAATTTAAGGAGTGGACACACCTCTTCGAATACAATTCTGCGCCATATTTTGGAGCCTTTTGGTTTAAGTTATTTTGACATTTTCCTGTGTTCCATACATTAAGGAATATTTCTTATTACATTTCCCATCGTACTGCTAAATGAGCTAAAGGTGCGTGGAAATGAATAATAACTACATGTACGACAGTTGCACCGATAAACTAAACACTAATTCGCGAGGCAAGTGCAATACAAATTTTAAATGATTTTAGACATTCCTAAATATAATATAATGCGCAACCGAGTTTTAAAACTAAAGGATGATTGAAGGGGTGTTCGTTGTTTGTGTTTGTGGTTGGCTCACTAGTAAGAGAAATTTGATGACTGTTACAGAAAGTCAAATTTACCGTGTGATGTTTGTACAAAAAAATAGTTTTAAAAATAACCTTTTCTCCTTTTCACGCGCGTTGCTAGTATACGCAAAACCAAAATTTTCGAAAGAGAATGGTTTACTGAACTGATGGCCCTTGTATTTTGTAGGCGTTTGCTTTAGGTGGTGATCATATCATTGGTGGACGTTGTGCTAAATGCATTGCCTCTGTGAGAGAACCAACAAACTATTTCTCCTCCAACTCTCAAGATGATATACGGTAAGGACTAGAAATAATCATGGATTTAAAAAATAATGATGACGAAGAGGGTGATTTTAGCAATTGCGATGGTGAAGCTTGCGTCCGGGCGGGGGGAAGCCACTTTGATTAAGTGAAATCAAAACGATGTTCTCACAACTTGCAACGCGATGGATGATATTATTTTTTTCAATTATTGAATTACTTCCTCTACTGGTTCGCTTCTTGCCTCTGAAATATTTACTTTGTGAAAAATACACTGCGCATATCCGCTGACCATTTCGCAAGGTGACCGCTTTGCAAGTTGTGAGAACATCGTTTCTCGGTCCCAGACCTCGTCTGCCTTCCTTCCCCCCTGGTTTGCATGCATTTATGAACGCTCATAAAATCTGGAGGAAAACCCTTGGGGAATGCGGAGTTAAACATAAAATCGTTAAATAATGCGTTAATAACAGGGTCTTAGGCTCCTCGTTAATAAACGTTTTCCTAAACAACATGTTTTAAAGCGTTTTAAGGCGGCAAAGCAATGGTAGTGGAAAGAAATGCACATTCCAGGTTCAGATACAGGGTAAGAGAAAGCAGTTATTGGCCTCACCACTGTGCCCTGCCACTTGCGCTTTGTGTTAAATTTTGTATTATTTAATCCACAATGATAATTTATAAATCCTTTGCTGATTTGTTCATTAAGTCTCTACATTCAATGTCAGGACGATAAATGAAGAAATATCTGAAAGCAGAACTGAACTTGAATGTCTCGTGGATCGTTGGAAATCACTAGAGAAAACACTCAAACAAAAGATTGTGAGTACCTTGATTAGTCATGATGTTACGTTGCTGGCAGATAACGACTAGCTGATTACTGCATTACTTGAAAACTGCTTAAGTACCGAACTTACAATATTTTGCTTTACTTTCAGAATGAGTTGCAAGAAAGCAACAAGGCAAAAAAGAAAATGCAGAGCTCCATAGCAAGTCTTCAAGTGGTTTGTACTGTTATGTGTAACAGTGTTGTACTCTGCCATTTTCCCCCTTTGCTGATTGATGTCTTGTTTTAGTTTATGATGATGGTTCATAAAGTGTTGTGCAATAAAGCCTAAGTTAAAAATCTTGCGTGGGCTTTACAACTTCCTAAATGGAGTTTATGTGCGTTGACTAGAGTGATGAGTTTGCAAAGAATTGGTGTCTTTTTGGATTTGCGCCTTGATATTTATCTTAAGTCACATCAAGAAATGCCTCCGCTAAAGCTGCCATTTTTCATTTGTGGACTTCGCCTCACTTTAATGCACTGAATCATGAAAACGAGTCTACCGGAAGTCAACCAGTTTACCGGAAACTGAGTTTTTTTTAGACGATTGCTCTTCCTATCATTGCGTAGCGGCAGCCTTTTGAAGTTCTGTTCTCCAAATATTTTTATTTAGGGTTTAAAAAATCGCAGGTTTTTGTGGTGTTTTTCTCTTAAGTATTGCACAGAACACTATTTTAATACGCGATGTGTCATTGTATGTGTCTATATGGTATTTCCCGTGGGTCATGCAAAATGCCAAATGGTAGCAGTAGCTTAGAATGGTGTCCCACCTGCTTCAGCTACCCCGGTTTCCAACATTTCCTATTTCTAATTTAATCTGGAGTGGTAGAGGAGGAGCCAGTTTTCTATGTATTACTGATTAATTGTTAGTTTTTTGTGTTAACTTGGCTATTTATCCATTTATTTTACTGGGCACCAGGAAATTAGTGAGCTGAATGAAAGCTTTGAAGAAGAGGTTTCGCCTGACATCTCAGTTTTGGTATGTAGAACTTTACAGCAATTAACACTCCCTACTATCAGTTCAGAAAAAGCACACTTAAGTTGTCTGATCATGCTAAAAGGTTAAGTAACATCTCAAGTTATGCCAAGGGGCAGCCAAGAAATCTTACTGAAAATATAATTGTGAGTTTCTTCAATTATTTCTGAGTAGGGTGTCAAACCTTGAAATACAACTTAACGCTTTGAGGCTTGGCTACAGATTCCTGATGCTTGGCTAAATTTACTTTCCAGAACTTTCTCGTCATGTTGTTTCCTTAGATAAACGATTTCGTCACCAACTGAGACAAAGAAAATGCATTAGTTAACCTAAAGTTGGAGTAATATCTCAGCCTGCGGGAAGAAATTGATACCCCAAGCTCGGCACTTCACATGCACAGTAGATAAACCAGCATCAACCATTTAGCCACATTGAAATCTGTAAAGCTAATCTAAGTACATTAAAAGTAACTTTGCAACACATAGACGCAACACCGATAGAACCCAAAACAGAGCGTGGTTGTATCTGTTGTGGTTCAATTTTATCCTTGGTTTAAATTTTATTTCCCTTTTTTAAAAACTCATTATCAAACACTATCATACCCAAGAACAAAGGGAAATAAAATTTAAACCAAGGATAAATTTAAACCACAACATATCCATCGACAGCAGCTTTATTTCATCAACCGTTGATCCTGTGGTCCCGTGGACCGGGTCACACTCCTAGTCTGTTCAAGGTGGAAGACAGAAAAACAGTAGTACTTCTAGTCACTTCGTAGCATATAAATGACAGACATGTTTCATTTAGTGATCGTTCGATACATTTCTTTTTATCTATTCGTACTCATAAGTATTACGCTGTGTGGTATTTAAATTTTTGTTTTTATGTTTTTAGGAAACTGACTTGGAGTTGTATGCTCAGCGGCTTGAGGACTGTACTCAGCAGGTATAAAAATAGGCGTATATGTGTCTGTTGGGTTTATTTTGTAATGCTAACTTCTTCATAACCAAAAGACCAAAACATAAAAATTTATCTATGAGCAAATTGAGTAGTTATAAATGGCCCTTATTCATGTTTACGCTTGAACATAAAATTCCAGAACCAAGTCTCGCTTGTGAACTTACTTCTTTGCACCTGCACTCTTTCTGAATGGATCTTCTTTATTCTCAACTGCCTTGTGAAGTTATTTAAAAACAACTTTCATAATCTAAGAATTAAGTTTGTAGTGGTATGTTTATGACTTAATGATTGCGCTTTCTTTCAGAGCCAAACTGCAGAAGAAGAACTGGCTCAGGCTTCTACAGCTTTTCAAAAACAACAAGAGATAAATACCCAGCACACACAGAAAGTGTCCGTCGTATTCGAGAAAGCAGATTCCCTTAAGGTAATCTTTTCTTTTTCTCTCATTTTTTTTTGGTGTCTGAGAGCTATATCTACATTTATAAGTACGCGTGAAACTCCTTCGGGTACTTTCATTATGCTGGTGAAGCGAACTCAAAAAAGTACTGCAGTCGATGAGAACCTGTGAAATGTCCGTGTTAATAGAATACATGTAGCATGATAGGTTCTAATATCTCATTTTTTGCTGTCGTTTATGGGTTTCTATGATTACACAAGGAGTCTTTAGAATTGATGTCTTAATAAAAATGTATTTGTTTTTGTTCAGGAGGAGCTGACATCATTAAATCTAATTATGGACCAGGAAAGAATGAGAAAGAATCATCATGAAAAAGAGCGGAGGAAATTCGAGCGGAAAATTGCTGAGAATGAGAAAGAGCAAGATCGCCTGGTTAAGTTAGCAGAGGTAAAGTACTTGGCCTCTCAATGTTACTGAGTTGTTTCCAGGTTTTAGTTTCATCAAAACTAACAACTGGCTTTAGAGAGAAGTGAGGAACTGACCCACCTACCCCACCCCTAAACCACGGTTTACACTAACTTGAGCAAGATGTTGAGTTAAGGGAGGGATAGGTGCATTTTCCTAGCCCTGACTTTGCTGCGTTTCATGCAACTGGGGCCGGACCTTTTGTTTGTCATGGACCGTTGGGTTCGTCACGAGTTCCTTCCCCAGGAGTGTCTGCTGAAGCGAGCGGTTGAATTCATTCCCATTGTTCGCAAATATCAGCTGGAGCTCACGTGCCCTAATCGGACAACCAATCGACGGTGTTGAAGTCAACGTGTTGACAAGCCAAACACGACGTACAAGCTCGGTAGAGTGTGATACTAACCTGCGATCAGGCGTTTTCTTTTTTTTCGGGTCCGAAAGCAAATTTTGAAATCAAAACCTGTTGAATAGTAGCACAGTTCCTAGCTCACAAACCGTTCAATTTTGCTTTGTTAACTGATACTTTCATCGTATCATTTTCAAAATTTTTGAAACTGTGATCTTGAATGTAAATACGGCAAACATAAAACAGCTTTTCGGGCCCGAAAATTTATCGGGACTTTCGTGAAACGGGTCCCTGGGCCGTTGCTGTTCATACTGTATCTGATAGCTTTTCGTGCCTATTCTTGGTTTGCAATCACGTGACAAGGTGGCCATGTTGGTGGTCAATACAATAGAATTCTTTCTCGAAATTAGAGTTTAGAGACGGACCATTAGAAAACTTATTGAGGGTGGGGGAAAGGGGGCGGGCGCAGGCGAAGTACAAAAAAAGTATTCGCGCAGGGGAAAATTAAGTGAAAAACATTCTTGCATGCCAATTAATCCTAAAAAATATTCATGCTATGGCCTAAACCAAAGGAGAGAAAAGCTTTTGTTCTTGACCACCAACGTGGCCGCCCTGACGTCACGTGCAAACCAGCAGTCCGTTAAAGTGTTGACATTGCCAGAGTTCGTTTCTATGCATTTTAATTTAGATTAAAGGAGCTGTGTCACGAAATTCAGCCAAATTAGGTAATTACAAAATGCCCGTTAAATCCAAGAGACACATAAAAATAACCGCTTAAAACATTAAACGAAGGTTAAAAAAACACAACAGATACAAGAGATGCCATGGATGAGCAAAACTGAAGAAGATCGAAACGGGATAAAATTAGGGTTTTTGAAAACTGTCCAGCCTAACAGTTTTTAAAAGTTTATCTCTGCTGTTTGCAACTTCAAAAATAATGCTCAGGAGACATATTTGTTTGTCTCGAATCTCTGACTTTGTCATTTACATGTAATTTCTTTGCTTACTTTAAGTTCCATAGCGATTGAGGGCGAGTAATTGGCAAAATTAAACAAAATGAACTGGACTGCCGTGACACAGCCCCTTTAAGTTACGTTGTGGTTTTTGTCATTTACAATCCTCGTATCACTTTGCGAACCCGAACGTTCCATTGTCAGACTATTGCAATCTACGGGAAGTTACTGTAATTAACATTCAAGATGTAATTCATTGAATATTTGTTCATTTCGAACTTTTCAGCAAAAAGCTGACGTGGCAAGTAAACATTTTCCAAGAGTGGAAACTACCAGAAGTGTGACAGACCTCGAAACAGAAATTTTAAAAAAGCAGAAATATATTGAAGAGGAGGAACGAAAGTAAGTAATTCAGTTGGCTAAGCCGAGAATAGGTCTTCCACCCTTTGGGTAAAAATGGTTAGGCTGATTTAAAGAATGACCCTGGAGAGTAACAGTGCGTTAGTATTTCAGATTTTTCTTTTTTTGTTTTCGCGTAGTGGCAGTTAATCTTCTACATAGATGCACCTTGTTCTGCACTTTTAACCTTTACGTCCCAGGAGTGACCAACATCAATTTTCTCCCAACAACATCTATACATTATAGAGAGAAAAGGTTATGAGAACTACTGAAATGAAAAGAGAAAGCAAAATTTTGATCCTTAAACAAATTCTTTCAACTTTTTTCTAAGGAAATGCATAAGACTGGAGCATTTGTATGTGGATATATTAGGGCTTAAAGGGTTAATGCTATTCAACCAATTAAACTCTCTTCGCTTGAGACTTCTCTGATCCCACTCGACAAATCCTTCACTGTTCTGATTGGCGGAGGGCTTTTGCGGCAAAAGGTGAATCCAACAATAATTAGAAAATTTAACACGCGGCGACCCAGGACAGAATTAAGAAGGTAGTGTGAAGCCATCGGTGTAGTTTCTTGCCACTGTGTCTTGGATGTTATCACGCATGGACAGTCTTTTTATGGCTGTATATTTTGTTTGTTTCAGTGTTCTTAGTCTGTTTGGATCTAGGGTAACTAATGTTCAAACTTGCCTACTTTCACTCTTTGGCTCTGTGTGTAGCGGGTACATATTTTCCGCCCTTGGCAGCGGTTACGTTTGTCCCTCCTTCGATGTATTTGTAGCGGTTACATATTTTCCCGCGCTTGACAGTGGCTACATGTGAAAACGAGCCAGAATAGAGAGGAGAAGTCGTTACGTCATGTTGCCATGGTAGTTAAATTTCTGGATGACAACGAACAAAAACGTCACTTAAAAAGTGAATTCACACTATTTCAAAATTCATCGATCTTATTCAATTTCTTTTAATTTCTGAAATGTTGGCAAAATTTTCTGGGGTTGAATCCGAAAGGATCGTATCTAATTTGTGTTCGTATCGAATTTGTGTTCATCTACTCCATAAAGGGGCGCGTGAAATTAGAAGTTTGATGTCGCAGTCGTGCAACGACGGCTAAGAAATGTACAAAAAAGCGTGATGCACGTGCAAAATTATTGTTTTTGCTAATCTAAACCTATTGCTTTTTTGCCATTCTCGTTGCCGTCGCCATCGCCTTTGCTTAAGTTCCCTATTGTTGTGGTCCAGAAATTTTGGTACCATGGTAACGTGACGTCATACTTCTACTCTCTATTGATTTCTTTTGTTTTATACATTTGCAGTCGTGGAAGTGCGGAGAAGATTACGAAAGAATTTATAGAAATTTGTGACCGATATTCAGAGATCGTAAAGAACACGAAGAATATACAGAAATTACATAAGGTAAGCATAAGTGGAACTTTTTGGAGCCGTTACCAAAAGATGTCAAATGCGCATCCAATATTTTAAAAACCACTGTACGTCTCAGAACCATCCAAAGGTGAACCTTTACTGAAAGTTTAACGTACAATACCTGGCCTCACGGGCTTCTCTCCCAAACGTTATCCGGACTTGGTAAAAACGGGCGCAAAGAGAACAACTTGAACGTATTATCAAACCATTTAAGAATTGTTGATGTTTTTTTTCTTCTAGTGTTTAAAAAATCAAATGGAAAAGAGGATGAAATATCTTAAAGAGAAAAGAAAAATATTAGCTTCACATACTTCTCAGTTCTTTACTCGACATTTGAGCCAACGAGGTTTTAGTGGATATGTATCCTTTGATCACAATGATGAGACTCTGGAACTCATAGTAAGTATAACGAACCTATCGTGCGGTGTGAAATTAGGAACAACATGTCGGAGGAAAATTGTCTCTGGGTGCAGGTGCGTTCGATTGCAAAATCTGGATTTCCGATTTTAAAATCCGGATTTCAAATGTGCAAAACAGCGCAACATCCGAAAACGGATTTTAACGCCGAGAAATCTGTCCCTGGTTTTCCTTTCTTTCAGTTTTTTGGCCGGAAATCCTAAAAAAGTTTTGAAAACTGTTCTCAAGAACATCGGTCTTGCACGCGCACGCATAATTACCCAAAGAGGACACTGTTCACGAGAGCAGCGTTGTAAATCCTTTTTTTTGGATTTACCGACGAAACGGTAAAGAAGGAAATACGTGAAACCTGGACTGGAATTTCTTAACTGAAATCCACCTAGAGAACACATTTCTCGATGTTGAAGTCCGTTTTTCGCCGGATTTCGCGTTTATTGCAAAATCCGAAATCGGGATTGAAAATGTAAATCCAGATTTCCCAATCGAACGCATTCTCTTTTCCCGCTGTAATCAAGCCTTCATTGAGGACACTAATTTACGTCTTCTACTGGAGACGGCGCCACCATCTCTGCAGTTAAGAGCTCTACCAACTGAGCTAGTCCTGCCTTAGCCTGCCGGCGGGGCAACTTGTGCGAGTTCGGGGGAAAATTTTGGCAGCGCCGCCAGTGGGCCGAGGATGGATGGATGACGCTGGCTCCGCCGCCAAAATAATTTTCCCCGAATTCGCACGAGTGAGCCTGCTCACAGGCTAGTCCTGCCGTATTCCTGAGGCGGTTTTCAATACTAGTTTGCAATATCTCCAGCATGATACAGATTAAAAGGTATATGGTTGACTGTTGCAGATTATAACATTACTGGTGCAAGAAATAATAGCTTTGCGAAAAAAGGGGCCCTGATTTGTTACTATATGGTTGATTTTGTTTATTTTGTAAGTCAGAACAAAAATCAGGGAAACGCAACAGCCAAAGTTGATTTCTAGGTATTATTTGAGACAAAAGGGACCTTGAGATCTGAGGACGGCGACGGTAGCGAAAACGTTGCTTAAAAAGTGAATTTGCGTTTTTAAATCTTCATCGCGATTATTCCGATTCACTTATTTTGTCAAATGTAGGCGAACTCTCCTTTGAGTTAAATTCCTAAGAACTGTATCCAAGTTGAGGAAAAGAAAGAAAATTTGGCTTTGGCTCGTTTACGTCCTCCAAACTAGTCATTTTCACGTCGTAGTCGTTCGGCGACGGCAAAGAAATTTACAGAAAGTGTGCTGTACGCGCAGAGTTGCTGTGTTGCGTGTTAAACATATTGCCTTTTTGACGTTCTATCTGAGGTCGCCGTCGACGGTTCTTTTGAAGAAACGGAAAGCTGACAGGTTATTATAATTCTTTTATTTTTCTTTGCCAGGTTAATGTGCACAAAGGTCCAAATCACGTTCATGGAGGCGTGGACGAGAGCACAAGAGTGATGAAGTCTTTGTCAGGCGGGGAAAGATCTGTCTCGACCATATGTTTTCTGACTGCCCTTTGGGGTACTATGGAGTCTCCATTCAGATGCCTTGACGAGTTTGATGTTTTTATGGTATGTGAAAAAATACATCTTAACCGGTTTCAAGATGCACATGGTTAAAAACTAACACAAAACATATTTCATACACTATCAAACGAAGTATAGGCTCTTGTCTAGTCAATATTCACCTGACGCATTTTGGATTACGTTGGGTACCCATGATGCAGGAAAAAAATTCTGATTCAACAGAGATAAACAAGAGCCAACCCGCCATGCTTTCCTTTGAACACGGGTAACATCCGGGGACTTTTATTTCCATTTTAAGAACTTAGCACTGGAAACCCACTCTTAACAAAGCATTCACTGTCGTCAATACACGCAGCAATCTAACCTTAGCTTTGGTGATTTGCAGGATCTTTATAATAGAAAGGTTATAATGAAAATGGTGTTGGAGCTAGCGGCGTTACCAGAGGAGAAACATCGACAATTCATTTTTCTGACTCCTCAAGACATGAGGTAAGTCTTCATTATTGAGATACGGGGTACTTTGACTTGCCACTTACACAATAAGCTCGGTTAAACATTTTTCTCATTAACATTCTTCTTGACCCACGTCCAGAGTCTTTTAAGAATTCTGCACTCAAACGACAAATATACTTTCCATAGCTTGAAAAGTGGAAAGGTGTAAACCATTTGAGTTATTTCTTAATCGCAATATCCTGTTATGCGATTCAATATAGTACATCCAGTCACCTTATTTGCTCTTGAACATTCGTATAACCCGACGCCAAACTTCAAATGGTTGGCAGCAAAACGGTTCACAACGTGTCTTGTTTGCACCCAATTAGAACATGTTTTTTCGTCACAGCATCAACACGCTTACATGCAATCGATCGTTATGATGCAGAAGGAACATACTAATTATTTTTCCCTATTAGTTATTTGCCCATAGATAGATCCGTGGTAAGAATTTTCAAGCTTGATGATCCTGACAGATGACGATGGACCACAGAGACCTAAGAGAGACCTTTAGATTCGAATGCGAGGACGACTGCGATGACGAGATTTGACGTAAAAGTTTTTTTCGTGTATTCTCAAAAAGTTTCATTTTACTTTTTTTTTTAACAGACAAGTTAACACGGTTATTTTTATTGAAGGAGGTTCAGCCCTCTCACGATCGCAAAATGACAACACGGCATGATTTGAATGATTTGATAACTTGTTTCCGCTACTACGACGTTTTCGTTCAAACCCGTATTAGAATGACGACCCGGGGCTCGTTTCTCGAAAGACCTGGGAACTTTTCAGGCCCGAAGACAAATTTAAAAATCAATACCTGTTGAATAGAAGCACAGTTCCTAGCCCACAAACTAGTCAATTTTGCTTCGTTAACGTATAGTCTCATTGAATTATTTTCAAACTTATTAAAACTTTGATCTTGAATGCAAACACAAACACAAAACAGCTTTCCGGGCCCGAAAAGTTACCGCGACTTTTGAGAACCAGGGGCCCGTTTCTCGAAAGTCCCGATAATTAACGGGCCCGGTAAGCTGTTGCCGTTTACATTAAAGACCGGGGTTTCAGCAGTTTTGCATCTAACATGATAAAACTATCAGTTCATGAAACAAAATGGAGTAGTTTTTTAGCCAGGACCCGCGCTCTTACTCTTTTTATTTCTACTTGAATATTTGATTTCGGGCCCGGAAAGTTACCGGGCCTTTCGAGAAACGGGCCCCAGGGGCCCGTTTCTCGAAAGTCCCGATAATTAACGGGCCCGGTGAGCTGTCTCCGTTTACATTAAAGATCGAGGTTTCAGTAGTTTTGCATCTAGCATGATAAAACTATCAGTTAGTGAAAAAAAATGGAGTAGTTTGCTAGCCAGGACCCGCGCTCTTATTCTTTATATTTCGATTTGAATATTTGATTTCGGGCCCGAAAAGTTACCGGGACTTTGGAGAAACGGGCCCCAGGCCCCCGGACGGCTATCTTGTTTTCCCGCCATAATGACACTGGTTCACGCACGGTACTTACTATTGAGAAAATCTTGTTCTCGTAATCTTGTTCTCGCTTAGATTTTTACTTATCTTATCATGAAGGTTACTAAAAATATATAATGATATTGTATAGAAGCTATAACTTTGTTTATTTTAAAAGTTTTTATGGTACAATTGAAAACAGATTATATTTTATACCACTACATTTATGTAACAAATTTTTATCTTCACAGACAAAGATATTACAAGAGTCAAATTAACAGTGAATATTAGATTGTTTTGCAAATAAGGGAGGCCATTTCCGAATGACAATTAGCCTCTTTTCAAAATTATCTCATATATAGGTAATTTTTTATTCACAGGCAAATGAAACTCGTAGTTCATTCAAATGTTCGGTCTTTTCCAGTTACTTAAATCACCAATTAAACAATAGTGTTCATTCAAACGTTCAGTCTTTCCGGTGGCTTAAAACTCTAATGAAACAATAGTGTTCATTCAAACGTTCAGTCTTTCCGGTGGCTTCACTGTGCGTCCGGACCTGGTCATGTATCCGCCACTTGATCCTGGGGTGGTAAGATCCCTGTAGGTGGTGCAGGTACTGTACTGTCTCCTGGCAGCTGATCAACAGTGTTGGCAGGTGAATGGTTGCTGGATGGCGATGCTGCTGGCATAATTTGGACAGGTACGTCTGCTGGTGGAGGGTTGTGTGTGCGGAATCTCGCTGTGTCTGGCCTGAGGTGTGATCTTGTGCGGCGGTACCTACTCGTTTTAGAATGTGAAGTCCCAAATGTAATTGTTGAGAGCTCTGATTAGAAACGCCTCTAAAGCGTTTAGATTTTTACTTATCGTATCATGAAGGTTACTAAAAATATATAATGATATTGTATAGAAGCTATAACTTTATGTATATTAGAAGTTTTTATGGTACAATTGAAAACAGATTTATATTTTATACCACTACATTTATAACAAATTTTTATCTTCACAGACAAAGATATTACAAGAGTCAAATTAACGTAACAGTGAATATTAGATTGTTTTGTAAATAAGAGAGGCCATTTCCCCGAATGACAATTAGCCTTTTTCGAAATTCTCTCATATATAGGTAATTTTTTATTCACAGGCAAATGAAACTCCTTTAATTGTTGTGCAACTGAACAGTTCCAGCTTCGATAAAGAGGATTAAAGCAACACGGAAATGTGCTAGCTTTTCATTCTCTTGCGTTATTGCACTTTTTTGGCCAATCAAAAGTAGCTGCAAAGCCTTTACTGAATTGTGCTCCGTTTTGGAATGTTTCTCAATGTGGGCAACGTCACTAGGTATAAACTAAATTTTCGCAATTTTCCCGACATTTTCCCTTTCATTTTGTTAGTGAATGTTGAGTGTTCGCTTTCAAAGTTTCACGTCTTCGGATTTTTGGGAGAATTTCGTGCAAATTCCTCGTTCTATCCGCTTCCTGAAATTTTGGTGGAATGGGAAACAAAATGAAAAACATGTTGAGTTGTTAACTGAAAGTTTAGGTTAAGTGGAGATTTCTATCCATGAAATCTTACGGTCGAGATTCTGATGTAATGATTAGTGCCAATTTTTTAAAAAAATCTTTTGGGTTCTTTTTAACTTAATTTATATCCACTGTCATGGATGTCATATATTTTTATTTAATACTCGAGGTTTCTGATGTGTATAAAGTTCTTAGTAAAATATGTTTTGTTAGAGTATTTTATTACGTTCTGTTAAAAGCCTAGTGTAGTGCAGGTGAAATGTTTGAATCTGCAGGAGATATAAGACTCGACTTTCAGTAAAGTTCTCAATAAATAAGAGATAATGACGTCATTGTATAATTTGTATTGATTTACTCAAACATGCCTCTAGACAATAAGAACATTTAAGAAATACATAATTCAAAATTGAAACAAAAGATATACAAAGGCAACTGAAAAGCAAAAACTTTGAAGGCCGTGTTCCTGACACCTCCCACTCGTTCTCCTTCCCTGGCGCGGGGGGGAAATTGATTTCCGTCAAGAGAGTTTGAGGTTTTCGTTTTAGGCAAGGGGATAATCTTTGAATTCTTTTAAAACAGAGACTATACTATAAACGGTAACCGTTTGCCAACCAAGTGCTATGGTGATTTGAAATGCGCAAATTAAAAGATGTTGAAATTGAGTCCTAAACATGCCTAAGCGATACCTGTATAGTTAAAAATTTCAGCTTTTCAAGTAAGTAAGACCAAAATCTGCAATTTACACTAACCAGGTGACTAACCCCATTTCCTTTGTTTGTCTCCTCTAAGACTCGCTGTCATGTTGAATTTTAATGTCTCGACTTGATAGGCTGGGGTATTAGGAGAAAGGGAAAAAGGGAGGGGGTTGGGGAGAGAGGGTTGGTAAGGGACTCCCTTTTCCCTTTCGCGCTTTTGTCCCCTCCCCCACCCCGTCTCCTTTTTGCACCTGCCACACAGACTAAAACTGTTGAGAGCCAAAACGGCAAGGTGGTAAATTTTCACTCTCTGAACTCGGACGCAGTCCCCTCTCTTCAGTTCCCATCAAATTTCCTTACTTTCCCGGGGGGGGGGGCACTCAAAGGAAGTCTGGGTAGAGCTGTGCCGCCGAGACCTTCAAACCCCGACCCTGGTTAACACAAAAATTGCTCATTTCGTTCCCCTGTTTAAGACAGGAGACACACACTCTAAAAGGCCTCCAGTGCAAAAAGACACCCTGTTCAAGACGCTTAATGGTGAAATTGTATACTCTGAAGACTCAAGACCTTGAAAACCATACCCTGTTCAGCGGCACATAGCACATACCCTTATAGGCCAAACAAGGAAGTCCCCCCCCCGCCCTTCCCCCGGGCATACTTTGAGTAACTGAGTGACTTTGTATTTTTCAGCTACGTTTTCATGCATAGGCGTCACCGTTGTCGGATCGTAGGGTCCCTAAATGTTGACGCCCTGGCCGTCAAAAATTGCAACCGAAACTTACTATTTTCTTTCTGTCAGTGCTCCGGCCCGAAAGATTTTTCCCAGGGGTAAACAAAAAACGTCCGGATTTTATGACGTCCAGGACGTGGACAAGCGAGGGACGCCTGGGGACTAGGTAAACAATATGGCGACCTTCATGGTTCCTTCATGGTATTCTAGTGTTGTCAGCGTTTTTCTCTCTTTAGTGGACTTGCCGTTCATGATAAGGCGCTCGTGAACTAATGTCTAAAACGCGAAATGATGACAGTTCTCTGGGTAATCAACCAGAGAAGAAACGGAAGTTTAGCCCTGATTTTTCGGGGATTAGCGCCGTGATTGTGGATGTTGGTCTTGGAAAGACTAGAACTGCCATTTTGGCCAAACAACTGGAAAGGCATGGCGGAAAACACATCAAAAATTTGGATAGCGCCACCACACACGTGATAGTCGACAAGAAACTGAAACTAGAGAGAGTGAAAAAGTATTTAGGGGTGAAAGATATTCCTGATGAAGTCAAGGTTGTGGATTCTGACTGGTTGAGCAACTGTCTTTCTGAGGGAAATCTCGTAGAAATAGAACATTACATCTTGAGCAAAGTTTGCCAGGATAGTAAGATCAAATCCACCCAAAACCTGTCAAGTAATGAAACTTTCAATGTGGAACAGACCTCAGAGCTGGTGGCAGGTAACTTAGGACCTTCCGGGTCTAAACGTGATGTAGAAAGTGGAACAACACATGAAATAAAGTCAGCAGTTCAAGGATCTCCAAGTAAAAAGGCTTCATTAAAGACTCAAGTCACATCTGCTGATGATGACAGTGATTATGCAGACAGTGGAGATGAAGGAAGCAAGTCTGGGAAATCACCAGTTATTACGCCCAATGTTTCACCAGAAAAGCTTTCAAAAAATTTAGTCTGTGCTCAGGCTTCCACATCTAACCAACAAAACCACAATCAGTTTATTACAGAGAAGTTGCAAATCCTGGCGACTTCTTATGCCAACAGCAAGGATCAATGGAGAGCCTTGGGATATAAGAAAGCCATTGCGG